TAATGTATGGCTAGATTACTTTGATGCTCAGTTTCCTAAGTCATGCTTATGAATGTGGTAGTGCATTTATGTTGTTAGTATCACCACAAGAAATGCGGCATTCAGCCACAATCGTTTAGCCACATGCATCAGAATATTGTTTAAATATTAAAAAATCCGTAACTTCGCAACGTGAAAGGGCGATGTGGCAAAATAACAGGTGATTATTCCCAAATGTCACATTATCACTTTTATACTTCCTCCTTCACACCCGTGTCGCTCGGGTTTTTTTTTTTTTAGTTTTGGCCTCCTCTAGTTTGAACCCTAAGCTACCATTATCATCCTTTTCCCAAGGCTATTTGTACAGATCTAGATAGTAATTTCCTCTACTTGCTCGTTCTAGCATTCATTTTCGCCATCTCTTACTTTCCTGCCATCGATGTTGATGCTTTCGATTGTACAATGGAAACCGAACATGGGAGAACAACTCCGTGTATGTGAGTTCTATACTACTATTCATTTTTGTGTGATAGATGTGAAGATTCAAAATTGCTTATTTTATGGTCTGTTATCCCTTTTTATTATCAATTTGCCAAAACCCAGTTTTGGCTTTGACACATGATGGTGAGAAGAAAGTTAGCTTCAGAGGAAATTGCATATACTTGTGCCACAACAATTTTTAAACAGTGCATATACTTGAAAGAGGAGGCAGATATAGTGATGTGACAACTAATGACCTTGGTTCAGTATGCCGCTGTGAGTATAACTATTATTAGGAATATTGCATATACGTGTCCTTCATCTAAATATTTGTACTCATAACTTTTTATATCATCTTCATTTGGGTATTTGAATGTCATGAATGGTATATAAAAACTATGATTTTCTTGTTGATACTCATGTCTTCTAACCAATGTGTGATTCATAACATGCTCCAAGTTCCAGCCATTAAGGTGACAAAATGAACCATAATTCAGTTCTTTTACACAGTGCGACCTCGAGTTAGATGCTAATTTTTGTTGTGACTGCTTCACAGATGATGGTAAAGGGGATGAGAAGCATACTATTGCAAGTGGAAGGTTAGCAGACATCATCTAGGAATCAACGAGGGTGTTCTGGGAATTTGTAAAAGAAGATAAAGATTATGGGAATGTGATCCTTAAAGTTTCTCATCAAATTGGAACTGATCTCAACAAAGAGTCTGAAGTTTCAGGTCTTCTAGTGGACATTAGAACACAACTACAGAAGGTATTGTTTCTACTAAAACTAAAATTTTGTATACACTTGACACTTTTATTTCCTACAATCTTGGGGTTGCATATTGCAAAAGGAGAGACAACTCAAGAGCATCTAATTTTTCTTTTGTGAGTATCTGTTAGTTTTTCTATACTTCCCAAAGCTGTGTAATTAATACTGACTTGCTAACCAATATTAATTTGTTTATATGGCCACAATATAATTCAAGAGCATCTACTTTTTATTTTCATCAATTAAATCTGGTTGAGTTTCTCTTCGATACTCTTTTATGTTTAGTTTTTCACTATAAACAAAATTATCATTTGATTTTTCTAGGTCCCCAAGTTTACCTCCCTCTGATTCAGAGATTGATGATTTCCCAAATGACTCCTCACTAAGAACAGATCATACATAGTGGCAATGAACCAAATTCCACTTACACTGACATTATAGAAGCATCATATGTTCCTTACAATCTCAGATTTGAGGGTGTTCACCATCGAAAAAAGGGGCAGGCTAATTAAATTGATAAGAATATGCACATTTTCATGTCCTCTATTGTTTGGAGTGGAGGGAGCAGTGAACGTGCCCAATCAAGTTCTTTCCTATCATGCCCTGTTTCCTTTTGTTGGCACTAAAACAGGTACACCTCATCCCGATTGAGATGCAAAGCATCGTTTCCTTTACCTATTAAAAAACTACTTTGGTTATAGATAAGTTAATCAATAATAATAAATTAAAAGAACCCCTCTGCACGTCTGTGTCTTATTTTATCATCATGGTCACTTTTTTTAATATATTACTCTGATGTCAATCAGGCCAATAACACATTTGAAATTTCACGAGCATGCTTGTTGTGGACCACCTAACTAACTAGTGACAAATCCCGGCCCCATGTTGTAGATCAAGTTTCCTTAAGAATTTGTTTATAAATTTAGCATACTTAACTTTGTGTATTTATTATGTTCAGCAAATTAATACCCATCTTTTATTTAATATGATTCTCATTGAGTATTTTCGTTAACTGTTAATATAATGTCAAATATAATTTATAAATAATGTTTAGTAAATAATCAACATCTTTCCGTGTTGTATTCGTCATAGTACCCTAACAATTTCCTTTATAATGTGTTAATTAGTTATTAGTCTAATATAACTATGTTGAACATACTAAATTTTACTTTACATTAGTGAACTTATTCTTTGATAGCTGCTCTGCATATGTAAAGAACCAATTATCTTTATCTTATTATCATCATATCAGAAGCTCTTTTTATTTCTTATTATTTCATTCTTCTAATTTAATGGAATTTTTTTCTATTTTGATTCATTCAGGATTTTAATGTTGACATTTTTTTTACTCTGTATTGATACAGGTTTGAATGAAATTCATCCTATTCTCCCTCAACTCCTTGAAGGTATATAAATGTCAATAAATTTTTTTTGTACATCTAATATATTGTATTGCTTACATGAAATTTAAAAGTCTATTCATTGTATCCCTTATTGTATTGCTTCTATTTAACAACATCTTAGCTTTGGTGACCTCTTTCACTTCAGTCCTCTGTTCAGGTAAACGATATCAGCATATTCAGTTTCATTTATAGTAATTAGATGTTAATATCTTTGACAGCTTTACAGAACTCACGAGGAAAAGTATCTCTTTGATCTTCAAAGGGTCCAGAGCCCACAATTTCTTTTCTCGGATCTCTCTGCTGCTTCGTGTTCTCTAATGCAAAGATTGCAGGGATACAAGGGGGAGGCTTAGGGTGTCATAGCTTGATGTGAATAAGCGTACATTGTACATAGGTACCCTTTCGGTACCGGTCTATTATATTTGTTTCTACTTTTTAGTATGGGTTTGGTGTTTGTCATTTTAAATGACATAAGTTATGTCTTTTTAGGAGATAGATAGACACAGAAAAACAGAAATCGTGGGAGAGAGAAAGTGAGTGATTTTTTTAATTTAAAGTTCAAATTTTTTGTGTCTGTATCTCTCTTAAAATGACATAACTTTCTGTCATTTAAAATGACAAACGCTTTTCCCTTTTAGTATACCCCAGTTTTTATATGGCGATCATCATGATTATGTTGTGTTGTAATACTGTCATTTATGGTATTGAACATTGTGTTGTAATACTGTCATTTCCCCCCCAAGATTAATTGCTTGTAAATTTGTCTTTAGCCTAGGGGTGTCAATTCGTGTTGACACGACACGAATTTGACACGACACGAATTTGACACGACACGAATAGGTCAACACTAACACGACACGAATTTTTATTCGTGTCAAAATTTTAAACACGAACACGACCTGTAAAATTTGCGGGTTGACACGACACGACACGGATAACACGCAAATTAAAATTTGTAAATTTTTTGCACAACACGAATCACCTTTTGTACGGGTTGACACGACACGAACACGACACGAACACGACACAAAAAGCACAATTACATCCATAAATGCAAATTTACAAGGCAACACAACACTAACACATCAATTAATCACATTCCTGGGCATTATATTTCATCAAGCTGTGCTAGCAGGAAAATATAGATCTCCAACATCACAAAAGTGAATATATTCACATTTCCAAGGCAACATCATCCAATTCTCCAAAGAAATCATCACAACCAGAATTGAAAAAAACTAATATTGTTCCAAAGGCAATGTAACAGCCCGTTACGTACCGGTATTGTTAACATTAATTATGATATTAAGCGCAGTTACAATAACAGCAGTTCATTTATAAAAGCGAGAATAAATTTTTTCCGACTATTACGCGAGCATTTAAATCATAAAAAGGCGTAATAATTAAAAGCTGTGACCGTAACCGTAAACTCTTGCGGAAGACTTATTTAAACTGTTTTTATCACTTACGTTACTTATTATAAGTTACTAAGGAGTTCCCATAAACTCACTTAGCCAATTTCCAACTTTACGTTTTATACCAATTCGAACATGTTACACTCTAAGTTTTTCTGCGACCAAACCGATCGCAACCAACCCTACTTCTCAGATTATATCTTTGTGTTACTTAATTCCCTTTTTAACAAGCTAAAATACGCTCAATTCGGAGCTCATTTGCTCCGGTTATCGCCGTTTGAAGTTGGATAAGCGATTAGCCCAAACAACCCCAAAAACAGCTCCAAACCACTCACATTGCTCGAATTACTGCACTCAATCCACTCAACCATTTGCCCTCAAATTTTTATCCTACAAACTAGGCACCTCAAACTTCATTTTGATATATCACACGCTCAATTTGACCGAGAAACGAAGCGGGAATTAATTTCCCAAATCCGGTCCAGAATCTGCCTCAGGTGCAGGGGCACATGGGCAGTCCGTGTTTCTCTATTTTTTTCAGGCCGAAGATCAACCCAGATTTTCCTCAAATTTGGACACAAGGTAGAGGACATCTCAACCTTCAAAATGGCGTATGGCACGTCCCTAGGGGACTTCTATGGAGGGAGATATGCTCTCCCGAAGTTCGCCTAAAATCTGCCAATTCTACAGAAAATTCGCCAGAGTTTCCTTTGTTTTTCCAATAATCCCAAATTTGTAAAAGATCATTTAACCTCAATTGTACCTAATAAACACATGATAATACAGTAATAATCCAATGGGTGGCACACACAAGGACCAACAACGCCTTGGGGCACTTACAACCCAATCCAGTTTATAGTTATTAAACATAGAGTCCATATTAATCATTCTTAAGTAGTTGCAATCACTAACACCTTTTTCATGCATATTTCCATCATACATATTATCATAACCTAAGATAAGCCTAAGGCCCTTCCATCATAGTTAGACATGCATCAATACTATTACAATATGGCTTTACAAATTACAACTTGAAACTAAAACTTCAAATTACATTCTTCTAAAATTTCAACTTAATTTAAAAGACAACATAACCAAATACATCACTACTAGACTTAGGCAAAATGGCATGAACAAGATGCTAATGAAGCTACTAATAAATACAAATGACATGTTCATGCCCTAAGTCTAGCCTAGGCCACACGGCCAACAAAATGCAAAATATGAAGCGCTCCAGCGCTCACTCTGCGGGCCTCTTGCCCGAGGCTCCTGCTCCACTGCTACCTCCTGAAATAAATGCCCCGAGACGGGGTGAGATATACGAATATATCTCAGTAACCAAGAGGTTCTGGAGAAAACTCCACCCAATGGTTCACTTCGATGCATATCAATAGAATACAACAACCACTTTGAAAACGGGATATAGCAAGGGATTTAGAGAAGGGGGAATATAAGGAAAACAAAATACGACGATACGGGATGGTAACCCCAATTCCACGTACGCCCTCGGCATATATAAGCCTATGGGTATCATCCAAGGTGTGTTCACAGAAACCACAACCATGATGCCCAAACCAACCAAAACGCCAAAGACATTCCTAGTGTGCTCCTACCCGGATCACACACCATGACCGCAGTCAACTGGAACTCCCTCCTGGAGACCTATCCAGCGGAAGTCCGAAAATGCCCGAAGGCTAATAAAACTGTCTACTGGCCAGAGACTCGGTACCGCAGTACCCATAGCAATAATGCATGCATGCTCATGTGTTCTATACTATTCATACACACTTCCTACTGTTGCCATCAACTGGCAAGGTGGAACAGAAAAGGGGAACAAGCCCCAGTACCAAGAGGTTACCTTAATTCGTGTTTCCACAAGCTCCGCAGCAGCTTATCCCTCAACTCGGTACACAGCGGAATGCCTACACAGAAGACATTCCCAATCACTCTCAGTTCAACCCATACATGTTAATTTATAATTACACATGCAATGAACCAATTTCTTACCTCAATCCACTTGGTCCAAGACCAATGGCAACTCACTGAATCAAGATTCGGGATTCAAGTCGATGTACGGCAACCTATAAAATCACATACAACCATCAGCACGCGTCAAATAACGTCAAAACGTCAAAATCACAAAATCTCCCCATCCACCCTTGATGGTTCGGCCAAATGAGTGTTAATTTGAGATTTATTTTTCTAAATTTTCTTTCCCATTTTATTATGCCTCATTAAGTTGTCAAGAGGCCAATTCAAGTGCCGTTTCGTCATTTTCGCGTCAAATTACATCAGAACGCGAAAACCGCAAAATCCCTCTTTCCTCCTTGAAGGTTCGGCCATCTATGTGTTATTTGGGGATTTATTTTTCTAAATTTTCTTTCTCATTTTAGTACCCATCCTTGGGTTGCCATAAGGCCATTTCAACTGTCGTTTCGCCGTATTACGACATTTACGCATCGTATTGCGAAATATTTCACTCTAGGTTCTTTATGCCAACTAAACCGCTTATTATTTTTCCATTGATTCTAACACTTGCCAACCACCACACAACCCATCTAATTACCTTTTTAACACATAATTCATCACTCAAACAATTTCCAACAACATAAATTTCATAACTTTCCTTTAAAGGCCAAGTTGCATCCTATGGCAATTCTAGGATTTCCATTCACTTCTAATCACTCCACATCTCACACAACCACATTATATCATCATATAATCATACCACAATTCATCAAACAATGCCTCAACACAAAATTCCAAAGTCCCAAAATCATGACCTCAAATTCACTAAGTTAAAATCATCACATTTCACCTAAAATTTTCATTGCATTTCTAGCATTAATACATCATTCTAAGGCATTATCATCTAATACACATTTTCCAATTGAGCTCCCTAACACAACACATCATCAAATCAAGCTTTAGGTTTTCAAAATTTCAATCACAATTAAACCATGTAAATGGGATGGAAACATACTCACAACAAAGGCTAGAAGCTAACCCAAGACTCCTCCAAGCAATGGAAGATCAAAAGCTCCATGAACATCCAATTTTCTTCAAATTTTCGGATCTGATTTTTGCCAAATGCTCCACAAAGAGGCGATTTCAAGGCTTAAGAGTGGTACCAATGTGTTTAGAAGGTCTTTTCCAACAAATTTCAACACAAATTTTGTTGGATTTGGTGGAGAAATGAGTGATTTGTGAAGAAAAGAAAATCAAGAAGAAATGGGCATGGGGGAGGCTGTTCCAGCGTGAAGAAGAAGGAGGGGAGGAGAGAGAAAGTGTGAAGAAATGGTGAGTTTGACTCACTTAAGTCACAGGCGGGTCCCACACGCGTTTTAACTTTAATCAATCACCTAATTTCAACCACAAATTCATGACCTACGTATTTTTCTTGTTCATGTCATATTTTTGTTTCCCCAAAATACTGATAAAATTTTCACGCTTATCGGTACAATTATACCGCAGTATTTTTCCACCGGAAAATCACTATTCATCAATTTTTCCCAAAATGACTCAATTCCATCAAATTTCATCAAAATCATATTTCCTAACTCAAAAAACCATTTATAACTCATATTTGGAACCTAGAGCTCAAAATTCAACTGACACGTTTTACGGTGCAATCGTAACGCGATATTTTTACCCGCGAAAAACACTATTCACTGATTTTTCTGAAACTTGCCTATCCACTCAATTTTTCGTTCTGAACCCATTTCCAGGGTTATTTTTACCATCTGAGACCTTCTACTCAATTTTTATCTTCCTAGGGTTGCGTGTTGGCTAATTACCGTTTTGCCCTTTCTTTGTATTTTGGCCTAATCTTTAGGATTTTCACTAATTCATCACTTGATTGCTCATTTAATATTTTAATTAATTGATTTAAAATTGTGAGGTGTTATATTCACCCCAACTTTTTAGAATTTTGTCCGCAAAATTAAATCATACTCATCCGCTAACTGAGGACACAGTCGGAGAATCTCATCATCCCGCTCCCAAGTAGCATCCTCAAGTGTGTTCCTTTACCACATTACTTTTATCACAAGCATGATCTCCTTTTTATGATACTTATTATCCTTTGATCATTCACAATCACTTGTCTCTCATGGTTCTGTGACCTTTTAATTCACAATACTTTACACTTTTTCTGGTCTCCCGTTACCCTTTCGCTAATTTGTAGGTAATAATATAACAATATTACGGATTTGTCGGTATCAATTTACCTCATTCTCATCCTTATCCATCTTTCTGACCCATGGTCGTTCTCAAAAGCATCTAATCGCTTTCATGCACATTCACTAGTTATTCCTGGAGTATTTCCAACTCACTTTCTTTAGTACTTAACTTTTTTCGCGGTCCTCACTGTTTTGACAATACCCCAACAACCATTTCTTTCCATTACTGTCACTACTCTTATCATTTCATTGTTTTCTTGGCTTTCACCCAACCACATGCTTTCTAGTTTCAAAGGCACTTTGTCGTATCCTACAATTCCGATTCACATTAAATTCTATACTCATTTACTTTATTTTTCCTTGTCACGTGTCTTCACCTCTTTTTAGGTACTCACAACTATATCTTTCTCTTTGTGATACGAAACTAGCAATACCCATACTAGTTTATATTTTCGATTAGCCCTATAAGGTCTTTCGACCACAAATACTCACGAAATTTTTCCATCTACAAACTCATATTTATAATTTACACTCATTGTTAAACTCTTTATTAGCTTAACCATCTCAACTTTACCAACTTAACCAGCTCAACTCCATACTTAGACCTCTCACAGTCTAAACACAACACTCATTAATGACTTTCGTATCAAAGGTCTTATGCCTAAGGTTTTCACCAAGTAACCATTTTTACTCATCATCCTGTAACAATATTATAGATTCAACATCATTTTTCATTCATTTATACCCTCACTTCTTCATTATCGACATTTTTATCATGGATGTCCACTTTAAAATACTATAAACTCACAGCTTTACTAACTTCCACCAATCATCTTGGTTGTTCGAATCAAACAACCACACCAAGCCATTTCACTACTAACTGATGGACCCTTAAAAATGCCATGTCTCTCACATGCAAGTCTCATCCTATAGGAATCTTTGAAACTTGATTATCAAGTCACATAAAACTAAATCCATCATTGCCCCTACTTATACAATTCACCACTGGTTGGTATATCAGTCTCTCGGAACATTCGAAGTTACCACAAGCACTCGACCATATATTATTAGTACCTAACCAAAACAACGTCAGCATTGTGCATTTTCCATACACTTTCCACCATAAGTGGTATATGCGATTATATATAACACTCCTCAATCTACTCCACCCGTAAGTCAGGCTATCAAATTTTAGGTAACCAATTACAATTCCAGTTTCCAACTATATTTACACATTCGTGCTTGATTCCATCACAATTTACCTTTTATAAGGGCTTATAATTCACCGTTTTAACCTGAATTCTTGATCATCACCAGCCTTCTTAGAAGGACACTTACTCCATCTGTCAACACTAAATCACACTATTATCTCTTTTATCATAAGGCGAGGATTCCAACAAACTTACAACCTCACTTGGAGCCGATATTATTTCATCGAACTTACTTTACACCCACAATAGTGCTTCACTATCACACTACAAAATTTTTACCCATTATACCTCATCTCTTATATCCAAATCTGACATATTTTGTTCATTTACAAACATCTGACCTCATATTTTGCGTTAATCACATGGAAGAACTCTCTCAATACAGTGGGTAACAACATTCACAGGTTTTAACCGCTCGAGCTCTTGCTGTCCTCAGGGCCCCAGATGTAATGACCCACCGATCAGAGAATCCACCCATATAATCCATGCATTAATGATAACCTACCACCTGCTGACTGTGTTCTATTAGTATTCCCAACATTTCTTATTTGTGCACTCATGTAGACCAACTCAACTATAATAGCAGTCTCATCACTGCGGGATACTCCCTCATCTCATATCACTCATATAACATAATAATAGTCTCCGGGAACATAATCCACACGGAGATGGCTACACACTTCGGGCACCTAACCCGCACAGAGATGGTAATATCAAGTCTCATAACGTGCACCTAGTGCATAGAGGAGTTCATATTTACATCACATCTGTATACAACAGCAAACGTGTACCCAGTACACAGGGGAGTTCATACTTATAACGTATCCGTATATAACGGCAAAACTGGTACTCCGTACACTCCAGATCACACATGGACCCAGTCCATTTGGTGTCTGTATCACTCTGTATATAACAGCAAAATATCTTTGGTATATTCACATGGGGCTATCCCCATAACCATAGTAATAATGGTATAATATACACCTGTTATATATATAAGTCAATTCATTTTACTCTCTCATTTCATTCTTCTCACTGATAGTTTACATGTAAGTCACTATTATAATAATTCACATCTTCTCTTCGTAATTTCATACACATTTCTTAACTCTCAATAGTTCCTTCTGTCATGTTATTGTTCAAATCCATAGTCCATTATCTCTTCCTTGCTTATTCTTCTCACAGATTGTTTTCTCTTTTACTTTGACTATTCACTTGGCATAGTTCATAACATAATCTCTATTCCGTGAATCAAGAATTTTCTCAAAGTTCTGTACACATCTCACATATACTTCCCATCACACAGGGATCTTCTAAACATATTTGTCCTATCACAAAAGACTAATTTCATCTCAATCCGTGCACTGGAAAGTTATATCAATCCTTGCACTAACACTTATACCTCAACTCATTAACTAATCTTATCATTTTTGTTTTGACATTACACGTTAGCTCTTTTGCTAAACACATAATTCCACACTTTATTGTAACTTAGTTCATACACTAATCACATGATTTCCCATCAGGTTGTACATTAGCTAAATCTCTAATCATACAATCTCTTTAGATACTTCCCATCATCGGGGATTTCATTCGGCCTCATTGTCCTTTTACAAAAAAATTTAATAATTTACCTCAACACGGATAATTAGGCGCTCAGGCCGTCACAAGGTGTACATACATATATATGTATACTGGCACTTAGGCCATCACTGGATTATTATCCGTTTATTCATCAGAATAGGTATACTGGCCATCAGGCCATTAGGTATTATTCACAATGCATTACAACATCCACAAATAATTAGGCCATTTTAAATTACGATATTCATTCTCTGAGATTTCCAAGAGACCTCCATCATGGATCAATCCTCTTATGCTTCATAACACCTGAATCTCTACATAGTAGCCATTTCCAAGGAGAATTCCACACATTAACGCACACATATAGTCATATTTGTTTCCTTCATGGCATATCGGTCAAGCTAAACCATTATTCCGTTACGGACAATCATACTCTCAATGAACCTTGTTCAATGCCATCCATGGCGATTCTATCAACTTCTTCCTTATACATATAATACATAATTAATTCATCTCCCCTATGCTTAATCAATACTACCTCCTTATGGATTTAAATCCCATATTTCGATACATCTCAATTTAACAATTGACCAACATTATAATTTCAAGTGGTCAAATCCCATAGGATTAATCATCAATTATTCTATTTATTTCTCTGCATGAACCATCTCAATTTGTTTAAGTGTACATCATCCATCAAGGACTTATAACTTCTAGTCAACATAAAATATTCAAACTCATGCCTAAGCATATATGTTCATCATTTTCAATAACCCAACAGGTTCTAATCTTCCACCTTGATGAAGTCCCTCCACCACGTCCACCTGGACATAATTGTTTTTACTATACAACACATATACTTGGAAGCTTCACCAATACCTTTTCCATACTATGGACTCATCTCAATTATATATCTTTATTATTCATGGTACTACAAGGTTCATCCATGCAATACCGTACATATCATAGATTTGTTTACAACTTTCACTTACAATCCAGCTTTATAAATTTCATCTACAAGGTCAGGCAAAACATTTAAGTATGTTTCCCTGAAGTCCTATCATATTCATATTTTACTTACTGCCATCTCTTGTCCATGGAGCAGTCAACACTGCATCCACAACATCAGGCTAAGGACTTACATTTGGTGTTCCAAGGTTGCCACGCAGGCTTCTTACGATGACTACGCATGTAACACAAAGGAATGGGTTGATCAGACCCACACTAAGGAATCACATATGCAGTAATCGATAAGAATCTACATACAACTATGCAACACACACACAACTATATATTCATTATCAGAGTTCCCTAACAAAACTGCTCTGATACCATAAAATGTAACAGCCCGTTACGTACCGGTATTGTTAACATTAATTATGATATTAAGCGCAGTTACAATCACAGCAGTTCATTTATAAAAGCGAGAATAAATTTTTTTCCGACTATTACGCGAGCATTTAAATCATAAAAAGGCGTAATAATTAAAAGCTGTGACCGTAACCGTAAACTCTTGCGGAAGACTTATTTAAACTGTTTTTATCACTTACGTTACTTATTATAAGTTACTAAGGAGTTCCCATAAACTCACTTAGCCAATTTCCAACTTTACGTTTTATACCAATTCGAACATGTTACACTCTAAGTTTTTCTGCGACCAAACCGATCGCAACCAACCCTACTTCTCAGATTATATCTTTGTGTTACTTAATTCCCTTTTTAACAAGCTAAAATACGCTCAATTCGGAGCTCATTTGCTCCGGTTATCGCCGTTTGAAGTTGGATAAGCGATTAGCCCAAACAACCCCAAAAACAGCTCCAAACCACTCACATTGCTCGAATTACTGCACTCAATCCACTCAACCATTTGCCCTCAAATTTTTATCCTACAAACTAGGCACCTCAAACTTCATTTTGATATATCACACGCTCAATTTGACCGAGAAACGAAGCGGGAATTAATTTCCCAAATCCGGTCCAGAATCTGCCTCAGGTGCAGGGGCACATGGGCAGTCCGTGTTTCTCTATTTTTTTCAGGCCGAAGATCAACCCAGATTTTCCTCAAATTTGGACACAAGGTAGAGGACATCTCAACCTTCAAAATGGCGTATGGCACGTCCCTAGGGGACTTCTATGGAGGGAGATATGCTCTCCCGAAGTTCGCCTAAAATCTGCCAATTCTACAGAAAATTCGCCAGAGTTTCCTTTGTTTTTCCAATAATCCCAAATTTGTAAAAGATCATTTAACCTCAATTGTACCTAATAAACACATGATAATACAGTAATAATCCAATGGGTGGCACACACAAGGACCAACAACGCCTTGGGGCACTTACAACCCAATCCAGTTTATAGTTATTAAACATAGAGTCCATATTAATCATTCTTAAGTAGTTGCAATCACTAACACCTTTTTCATGCATATTTCCATCATACATATTATCATAACCTAAGATAAGCCTAAGGCCCTTCCATCATAGTTAGACATGCATCAATACTATTACAATATGGCTTTACAAATTACAACTTGAAACTAAAACTTCAAATTACATTCTTCTAAAATTTCAACTTAATTTAAAAGACAACATAACCAAATACATCACTACTAGACTTAGGCAAAATGGCATGAACAAGATGCTAATGAAGCTACTAATAAATACAAATGACATGTTCATGCCCTAAGTCTAGCCTAGGCCACACGGCCAACAAAATGCAAAATATGAAGCGCTCCAGCGCTCACTCTGCGGGCCTCTTGCCCGAGGCTCCTGCTCCACTGCTACCTCCTGAAATAAATGCCCCGAGACGGGGTGAGATATACGAATATATCTCAGTAACCAAGAGGTTCTGGAGAAAACTCCACCCAATGGTTCACTTCGATGCATATCAATAGAATACAACAACCACTTTGAAAACGGGATATAGCAAGGGATTTAGAGAAGGGGGAATATAAGGAAAACAAAATACGACGATACGGGATGGTAACCCCAATTCCACGTACGCCCTCGGCATATATAAGCCTATGGGTATCATCCAAGGTGTGTTCACAGAAACCACAACCATGATGCCCAAACCAACCAAAACGCCAAAGACATTCCTAGTGTGCTCCTACCCGGATCACACACCATGACCGCAGTCAACTGGAACTCCCTCCTGGAGACCTATCCAGCGGAAGTCCGAAAATGCCCGAAGGCTAATAAAACTGTCTACTGGCCAGAGACTCGGTACCGCAGTACCCATAGCAATAATGCATGCATGCTCATGTGTTCTATACTATTCATACACACTTCCTACCGTTGCCATCAACTGGCAAGGTGGAACAGAAAAGGGGAACAAGCCCCAGTACCAAGAGGTTACCTTAATTCGTGTTTCCACAAGCTCCGCAGCAGCTTATCCCTCAACTCGGTACACAGCGGAATGCCTACACAGAAGACATTCCCAATCACTCTCAGTTCAACCCATACATGTTAATTTATAATTACACATGCAATGAACCAATTTCTTACCTCAATCCACTTGGTCCAAGACCAATGGCAACTCACTGAATCAAGATTCGGGATTCAAGTCGATGTACGGCAACCTATAAAATCACATACAACCATCAGCACGCGTCAAATAACGTCAAAACGTCAAAATCACAAAATCTCCCCATCCACCCTTGATGGTTCGGCCAAATGAGTGTTAATTTGAGATTTATTTTTCTAAATTTTCTTTCCCATTTTATTATGCCTCATTAAGTTGTCAAGAGGCCAATTCAAGTGCCGTTTCGTCATTTTCGCGTCAAATTACATCAGAACGCGAAAACCGCAAAATCCCTCTTTCCTCCTTGAAGGTTCGGCCATCTATGTGTTATTTGGGGATTTATTTTTTCTAAATTTTCTTTCTCATTTTAGTACCCATCCTTGGGTTGCCATAAGGCCATTTCAACTGTCGTTTCGCCGTATTACGACATTTACGCATCGTATTGCGAAATATTTCACTCTAGGTTCTTTATGCCAACTAAACCGCTTATTATTTTTCCATTGATTCTAACACTTGCCAACCACCACACAACCCATCTAATTACCTTTTTAACACATAATTCATCACTCAAACAATTTCCAACAACATAAATTTCATAACTTTCCTTTAAAGGCCAAGTTGCATCCTATGGCAATTCTAGGATTTCCATTCACTTCTAATCACTCCACATCTCACACAACCACATTATATCATCATATAATCATACCACAATTCATCAAACAATGCCTCAACACAAAATTCCAAAGTCCCAAAATCATGACCTCAAATTCACTAAGTTAAAATCATCACATTTCACCTAAAATTTTCATTGCATTTCTAGCATTAATACATCATTCTAAGGCATTATCATCTAATACACATTTTCCAATTGAGCTCCCTAACACAACACATCATCAAATCAAGCTTTAGGTTTTCAAAATTTCAATCACAATTAAACCATGTAAATGGGATGGAAACATACTCACAACAAAGGCTAGAAGCTAACCCAAGACTCCTCCAAGCAATGGAAGATCAAAAGCTCCATGAACATCCAATTTTCTTCAAATTTTCGGATCTGATTTTTGCCAAATGCTCCACAAAGAGGCGATTTCAAGGCTTAAGAGTGGTACCAATGTGTTTAGAAGGTCTTTTCCAACAAATTTCAACACAAATTTTGTTGGATTTGGTGGAGAAATGAGTGATTTGTGAAGAAAAGAAAATCAAGAAGAAATGGGCATGGGGGAGGCTGTTCCAGCGTGAAGAAGAAGGAGGGGAGGAGAGAGAAAGTGTGAAGAAATGGTGAGTTTGACTCACTTAAGTCACAGGCGGGTCCCACACGCGTTTTAACTTTAATCAATCACCTAATTTCAACCACAAATTCATGACCTACGTATTTTTCTTGTTCATGTCATATTTTTGTTTCCCCAAAATACTGATAAAATTTTCACGCTTATCGGTACAATTATACCGCAGTATTTTTCCACCGGAAAATCACTATTCATCAATTTTTCCCAAAATGACTCAATTCCATCAAATTTCATCAAAATCATATTTCCTAACTCAAAAAACCATTTATAACTCATATTTGGAACCTAGAGCTCAAAATTCAACTGACACGTTTTACGGTGCAATCGTAACGCGATATTTTTACCCGCGAAAAACACTATTCACTGATTTTTCTGAAACTTGCCTATCCACTCAATTTTTCGTTCTGAACCCATTTCCAGGGTTATTTTTACCATCTGAGACCTTCTACTCAATTTTTATCTTCCTAGGGTTGCGTGTTGGCTAATTACCGTTTTGCCCTTTCTTTGTATTTTGGCCTAATCTTTAGGATTTTCACTAATTCATCACTTGATTGCTCATTTAATATTTTAATTTATTTATTTAAAATTGTGAGGTGTTATAGTTCCCCCGGAATTGAGCTTTAAAAGAATCAAATTTATTTGGTCCTACATCCTACAACTTCCACTCGTGTGAAAATAAATCCTATGTAGTTTAAATATATTTTTAGTTTATGCACATAGCACTTATTTTTAATTTAATATATATAAAAAAATATTTTTAATTTAGAACAATCTAAATTTGTCATAAGTCATAACCGTTTGTTATCATAATTACACCGTAAATTTTATTATAACGTTAAGGTAAAGTATAAGGATAAAAAATAAATATAACATATAAAAGCTAAAAATAATTGTTTAGATAATAATTAAATTAACATCTTTTTTTTTTGTAATTATTAAGTTAAAAATGAAATTGACTACCGACAAAAATATATTTCAATACAGTTACGTTTATGGGTTCGCTTTTTCTGCTGTTAATGCAGATAGCTTATCTGCAATAAGCCCAATACGACGTTGTTTTGGGACGGAAATCATGATGTTTTTGTAATTTTAATTTATTTCAAGGTGATAATAGTCTTTATATTATAATTTTTTAAGATTTCAATACCAAAACGACGTCGTTTTGAAAATAAATGCAGATAACTTATCTGCATTAACTGCAGAAACATTTTTCCCTACATTTATATAAGGAAAACCTAATTAAGGAAATGCATCTTCCATGAGGATAGACATACCAGGACTAATTTTAATTTGTCTGACCACCACACCAATATGATATGTGCATGTACCGCCAAAGTTGTCAAAAAGATGACAACAATAATATTTGGGAATTGGAACTCCCTGCTGCATATGCCAGTGGTTTTGCAAATTAAGTTTGAAATGTTTACCAAAAAAAAAAAAGAAGTTTGAAATTGAATTTGCACGTACGTGTTCCTATGATTATGAAAGATACGTTATCTCGATGAGATATGTTTCGATCTAATTCGTTCTTCATAAATGAAAGTGTTATAATATTATAGTAATGGATTTTTTTTTAGTGAAAACAATTAATCTTTCCAATTGCAACATACAATGTTAAAATATTTTTATGAATAACATTATGAGAACAATGTTAATTAAACCGAAAAAAAAAGCATGTAATGACTATCTAGGTGGCAGGGTTCATGCTTGTGTTGTGTTAATTCACAAAAGGATGGGCTCCAAGGCCTTTCAAAGGAGCAGAAGAATCGGTCCAATGAAAGAGCGAGGGGCATTTCAGACAATCCGATCAAAAAAAATAACGACCATACAGATCTTCTCCTAACCGACTCCATCTTCCATTAACTAACTAACAAACTAATTTAACAGTTTACTCTTGCTCCGTCCACGTCCCCTCATAGCCCACCACGTGTAAACGTCTCATTGGCTGTCATCGCAAGACTCGTGCCCTATATAAACCAGGGTCTAACCCATTCCTCTGCTTTACCGTTACAGAGGATTACATAACATAACATAACATAACATGACAATGGCGACCGTAGCTGCTGCTGCTCCTGTAACTGCAAACGAATCCCACAAAAAGAACAGAATTCAGGTTTCCAACACTAAGAAACCTCTTTTCTTTTACGTCAATCTCGCCAAGGTAATATAATTTTTCCATTTATTATTATTTCCTAATCTATTGAAAATTGATTTACATTATATTGATTTGAAATTATGATCAATTAATGGCTAGCTAAGCTTGTTTATGACAAGGAAAAGAAGGAACCAAACATGTAACATAATGCTGAAATGGTTTCTCGTTTGATGCAGAGGTACATACAGCAGCATAACGAGGTTGAACTTTCTGCTCTTGGAATGGGTACTTCTTTTTTCTCAAACTAACATTTTTCCTTCATTTTGTCCTTTGGACAAGAAAGAGGAATTAAATAAAAGCTGACCTCGGAACCTTATGTTTTATATGAATCCCCAATTGTTAGATTTTCTCATTGATTATTACTTAGTACATTATTTCATTGTTTTTCTTTGAAATATTAATATAAAATCATTAAGTTGATTATCATTTACCGACTTAAACTTTTGGGTTGAAGCTGCATAATATTTTCACCCTCTCATTGTAATTGTTCCCATGTCTCAAAATCATGGCATATGGCTGGTATAGCATCCAAAAATATCAGTTTGCACACATTTTGTCCAAGTGATATAATATCCTCCATCAATTGAACAAATGTGCTTTGCTTCATCTATTCCTACTCCAACTGATATAATATTCTGTAAAAAAAAATGTTGACATGAAATTGTACAGCTATAGCTACAGTTGTCACAATTGCCGAGATTTTGAAGAACAATGGACTTGCCACTGAGAAGAGTAAGGTTTCTTCTTATCTGCTATTACTCTCACTTATGTCATGGTTGTAGCTGCTATTCTAATCAATTAGTCTGGGGATGGAACAGAAGTATTAACATCTACAGTTGGCATGAAGGATGAGATCAAAGGTCGTCTGGTACAGAAGGCAAAGGTGAGTTTCCCAATGGATTTTAGTTTACTATTATCAGGCTTCAGCTTTTATCTCTTCCCTTATGTTTTGGTGGTTTATCTCCTTTTCTTGATTTTGTAGATTGAAATTGTGCTGGGAAAATCTGACAAGTTTGACAATCTGATGGCTCCTGTTAACACAACTGAATCAGAACCAGCTGCTGAGGACAAGAAATGACAAATATAGGAGAGCCCGGTCAATGTGCAACTGTTGTAGTTAATATTCTTATTATTTTTGTACTGTTTTCATTCACAGACGTAATAGGGAAGTAGAAAAGTTACAATGATAAGGCAGCAATGAGTGGTCAACGTTGTAGAGCACACATTTCCATTCTCACTTTAGATTGTGTTTCTTCACTGCATATATATGTATATGATGATGATGAATACATGACTAGTGACTATTAAGCTCACTGATTATTTATTTTTTCAGTTCATCCAACATGCTTTGATTCTGAGATGGAGTTATCATGTGTCATTACAGAGATTTCTAGTTTATCCGTGATTTTTCCTGTTAATCATTTTAAATATTTTACATAGTGTACCGTTGAGTACTGTAAGCCCAATATATTCCCTTGGAGGGAATGTGAATCGCTATATGAGTATCGTCGTTAACAGAGGTAGAGACCAAGTTAAACGGCAACATCCCAAGTATCAAGTATGGGGTCTATATCTGCGAGTTAGGGAGGGGTATGTGTGTGTGACGGTAAGGGCTTAAGGGAAATGGCAGGGTAACGGCACATAAGATACCCTTTCGCCTGGTGATGGAGGGATATTTATAGGTGGAGAAGATGCCCTGCTCACATTGGAGAGTGAGCCAAGTCAACTCTCCTTGGGGATACCATAGGTGGCTGACATTGTTGTGGCGGCAGCAATGCAGTCTCTGCTAAGCTGGTGGTGTAGAAGGGAAGCTTCCATTTAGGGACTGGGAAGACTATACAGTAGAGTGGGTATCCCAAGATAAGACATTTTAGTGTCTTACCTTGAGGATACTATCGCACGGGGAACATAAGGGAATGAGAGTTGGTAGCCTCTGGTCAGCAGGGCTGACATGGACGATGGGAGAGGGTTTGGGCCCGTCTTATTGGGTCGACTATACATGGGCAATCCGGAACACGGAGTATACATTAACAAATATAAATAAAACCATTCATTTAGTCATCTGATATCTCTGTCAATAAATATAATGGATATAATTCTATTTGACTTAATACAGTTCTTAATTCACAACTCATCATAATTATAACAATAAAATGTAAACATACGCAACAACTGTCAACAACTTGCTCTTTAGAATATGTTGGGTATGACTCATATTTCACATGCTGATGAGGGTCCTTGTTGTCGGGGTCAGCAGAAAAGCAACTGGGGTGAGGTGAATATAGTACAGACAAGCTGGACGTAGCCTATATTGGATAAACCAGGATAAATCATCGTGTCAATCCCTCTACTCTTTTCTCTTTTTTGTTTTCTCGATTTTGTGTGATTGTGGATTTCTAAAAGAATAAACAGACAAAAATTGTATAATGGGTGAATTATTTTCATTTTTAGCTATTGCAGTTTGCTTGTGGTTCAATTTTTCTGATTTATAAATTAAATAAACTCTTTACCATTTCCTTAAATGACACATAATTCTCTATATTAATACGTAACACAGTTCTTACTTGCTTAACTAAATAAACAAACTAAAAGGGAACTATTTTTTAAGGCAAAAGAAATTTTATTTATAGAAGAGGAGGGAAAGTATACCTATAAGGAGAATAAGATAGCCTTGAAAACGGGGAAAAAAGAAAGAATACATCATAGAAACGAGTAAAAACAAAGAATCCAGCAAACATTCACATTCTCTGTATGTATAAATGGTAACTTGAAATAGCCATTAGCTGACCACAAAAGAAAGCCCATTAATACAATTCTAGCCTATAACTCTCTAAATTCAAGTGTGAATGATTGAATGCAATCCCGTATTGGTTGAAAAAATATCAAGTGGATACTATATAAATAAAATGATACATACACCTAATATCTTTAAGATTTTGGATTTGATTGTCAACTTCTAAATCCACTTAATATGGATACTTACTTGATTTATTATTGGTGGTTCCCCCGAGCTCTCCTGCACGCGTAACAGTTGGAGCCTTGGAGGGCAGAGAAAGCCGATTCCATATACCAACTATTGCCACGATATTTTCAGCCTCCTCCGTCTTTTATTAACCAAGGCCTTTATAGTAGTTTATATATATATATATATATATACATAAAAGGATAGTAGCCTTTATAGTAGTTTATTTACATTTTTTTTTGTGTAATTATAAGAACATAAAGTTCCAATTTCGCAATTATTTCCTTATGGTTGTAAGCCACAATTTGGTTATTGGTTCGTATCAGTCGATATCATTGCACGTTTGTCTTTATTTATTGAAATTCCTAAATACTCTTTTCTGCAGCAATTCTAGCAACTCCAATTAAAAAAGGTCTTTAAATAAATAATCACCCCAAACTAAAAGAAGAAGAAGAAATAAAACATCATTTTGGTTTTTCAAAGATATATGTAAGATCACATTAAATCTTCATTTATAACATCAACGTGATCCTTCAATAACAATTAATGCTATTACTTTCATTCTTTACAAACCGATTTCATGACATTTAAAGGTTAATTTGATGACAGAAGGGGAAAAAAAATTAACTTAATGCTTTTTAATAAAATTAATTACGTGTTTATTACACTTTTCGAAAAAATTACACATTTATTGCAGCATATGTGTAATTTCTTTAAAAAATGTAATAAATACGTAATTATTTTATTAGAAAATATTAAATTAATTTTTTTTTCGACAGAAATGATATTAAAAGACTAAATATGAATTTAGTATCTATTATATTGAAAGATCAAAATGGACAATAATCCCGATTTGAATGAAGCAGAAGTAAACACCTCCAAGAAAGTCACGAGGTCTTGGGCTACGCCAGTTTGAATTGGATTGTAAAAAAATAATTTTTTATATTTTGTTTAGAGCTCGGTTGGATTCTCTCTTTTTTTAAATTAAAAGTTACTTTTAAATTATAGCTAGAAATAAAATTACAAGTGATTTGATGATTATATAAAAAGTTTAGCTTAAAAATTACTTTAAAAGTTATTCTTTTAAAAACAAACACATATTTCAAAAAAAAGCTGATAAAACTTAAAAAAGCTTCTCCTAAGAACTTTTGGCTTTAGCTTTTTTTTCATTTTAAAAAAAACTCTTTTTATTATAAAAACTTATTTGATCTATCTTTTGTTTATAAGGAGAAAATAAGCTAAAAAAGAAAGGATTCAAATAAACACTTATTTTAGAAATATTTTTTACAAAGGCTAAAGTTATTTAGATTAAAAAAAATATATTGAACTTTTGACTTCTGCTTTTTTTTAGAAGTTAAAATTTTTAACTTTCAAATTTTTTTTTTTTTTTACTTTTTTTTGTAATTTCTGCTTTTTTATTAAATAGATATCCAAATAAACTTTGTAATAGAAATGTTTTTTTAAAAAAAAAAAAAAAAAAACAGTTTTTGGCTAAAAAATACCCATCTAAATGGGTGGTCCTTCACTTTGTTAAAAGTGTGTTTTTACCCATAAATTTGAGGTTCGTTCGAATGTCCTTCCAAAAGAATATTCAAAAAACAAAAACAAAAACAAACAAACAAACCAAAGAAACAAAAATCATGCCATTACTATATATGCGTTATTGAACACTGCCAATTATTGGAGTATATACACATAGAGTATCTGGTACAAATTAATGTAAAGTAAATAAAATACATCATTTAGTAGCCAGTGTAAGCTATCAAACCTAAATAAATAATAAACAAGAACCCTTTCACAGAGAGGGAACATACCATAACTAACTAAAGGTGGTCCAATTTTATTAGATTGGAGCAGCACAAGTGGTTCTAAAGTGTCCTGTTTGATTGCAACGACTACAATGCACTACCCTCTTAACACGTCCACGGTCTTCTGCACGAACTCGCTTCTTTCTTGGTCTTCCAGGTGGCCTGAGTGACTTAGGAGGGTTAATAATAACTTCAACAGCTTGGCTAGCATTAGCATCACCACCCTCACCCCACTCCTTCCATAGAGACCTATCAGGAATTGGATGTATGGTTTGTGAGTATGTCTTCCTATAAGTTGCAACTGTAAAACAGCTTTCTGTGAATCTATGTACATTCTGCCTGCATGAGAGAAGTGCTGCCACAGCATGTGCACAAGGCAAACCATAGAGCTGCCACCCACGACATAGACAACAACGGTTCCTAATATCAACTATATTTGTTCCTTCATGAGATATAACTTCAAATTCAGCTTCATTGGCACGAAGAACCTGATATGTGCGTGCACGTTCAAGAGCCTCCGCAACACGTCTCTCAGCAGAAGGTACAAGTATTGATGTCCACTGCATGCTGGTCTCTCGCCGCTCATTAAACCAAGTCATTAGTTGCCTCCTAATGTATTCCATCATTTGAATTATCGGAAACCCAGATGCCTCCAATATCCAACTATTTAAGGATTCAACCATGTTAGCCGTCAAATGACCAAACCTTTGCCCCTCAAAATAAGCAGTTGCCCACAGACGAGGTGGTATTCTTCGAATCCAATATGCAGCATCTTGTGATATCTCTTCGATCTCCAAAATTTTTGCTTCAAATTCAATTACAGTAAGAACATTGGCTGCTTCCCATAGAAGATTAACAAGCATAGTGTTATTAAATTCCTTACGGAAGCTGTCACTCAAGTGACGCATACAAAATCCATGGAAAGCAGTGGGAAAATTTGCTTCCACTCCATCCACAATTCCCTTCTGTCTATCGGACAAAATAGTAAGTCTTGGCATGTTTTCAGTGTTAATCTCAAGCAGGTTATGAAGTTCTGACAGAAACCACATCCAATTATCATCATTCTCCTCATCAACAACACCAAATGCCAGAGGAAAGAGAGCCCCGTCACCATCAAATCCAGTAGCAAGAAGTAATGTACCGAGATACTTGCTCTTTAAATATGTTCTATCAAGCCCCAAGAGCGGCCGACAAGCATTTAAAAAGCCATATATAGATGCTTGAAAGGAAATGAATAGACGTTGAAAGCAATTATCAGTTGGATTTCCATAAACAGATGCAATACTGCCTGGGTTTGTGTGTTTCACCTGTTCACAGTATTGTGGAAGCAAGCGATACCCTTCTTCAAAAGATCCACGCATTGCAGCCATGATACGCTCCTTGCCTCTCCATGCTTGCTTGTACGATAAGGTGATACCATGAACCCTATGAATCTCTTCCAATATCTCCTTTGGCTTGCAATTAGGGTTCTCCTTCAGCCTTTGCTCCACAGAGTTAGCAACCCACTGAACTGAAGCTTGCTGATGGCCAAGATGAGAAATTCCTCCACATGTATGACTCTCGTGGATTGTCCTAATAGTAAAAGTTGGAACCCCTGGAAGTTTTGCTGCATGAATGCGCCAGGGACATCCTTCACTCGCACATTTAGCAGTAAAGCGAGTCTTGTCAGATTTTATAGTCTGCATCTCAAAGTGCAGAGCAATTGCTGTATCCCTCAATGCCCTTCGGCAACTCTTGACATCAGGGAATTCTTGCCCCACTGACAATTCATAACTAGGACTTATGGCAAGTGTACGAGCCTGAATTACAGGGGGTGTGGAAGGAACAACAAGCTGTGAATGTTCAACACCCAAAACATCGGCAGAATCAATACCCATTTCTGGGTTCTGAACCACAGCTAGATCCATGTTCTCATCAAGTTCTTGGTCATCTGAAACAGTCAAATCATTGTTCTCTAATAGGACCAATTCGTGATTTTGTCCAGGAAGGGGCAACTCATGGTCATCATGCTCCGATTTTCGATCCATGGCTAACTCATGCTCATGCTCATAAATGTGGCCATCATCACCTTCATGATCATGGTTCTGTCCTAACCCCAATTCATGGTCATGGGCATCTCCCAAGCCCACTTCATGATCATGGGTTTGTCCCAGACCCAAATGATGCTCATGGGCTGGTCCCAGTTCCAACGCATGGTTCTGGTTGAGGCCCAAATTATGATTATGACCTAGCACCAATTGCTGGTCATGGCTAAGTGCTAAATTGTGACTTTGACCAAGTATCAAATCGTGGTTAGCCATTGAAGATATAAATCACTATATATGACCACAAGAAGAAGAACCACTGCTCAGCTTACTATACAAATAACTGCTTTATGGTTGAGACACTGCTGCAACATCCAGCGGATAACCAAAGACAATTCAGATAAACCATATTAGTGCTCTGTCCTGCACATGAATATTAAAAGCCCTGAATTGTAAGCATCACCATAAAGCTACAAATAAAATAACTGAAGATCACACAAGTAACCACTTTACAAAGAGCATACGAAACAAGACAGCTATTTCTCCAAGGCTTTTACTTTTCTTTCCTTTCTTCAAGTATTCTATCTCCAATACATAATGAATGTACAATTTGATGGTTACGTACACTAAATCATGCCAGGTCTATGATGAAACTGCAGCAAATAAAAAGTTCAAAAGAGACAAGGGATCCATTATCACCAACTACCACAAATACAAGAAATGCATACGAAACTTCGGAAGGCTACAAAAATTATATGCACACATATTTACACAATAAACTGTCCCCACTTAGCAAGTTCAAGGGTTATCAAACATTATAAATCATAAATTGCATAACGCAACATTAACGTTTGTGTTACAAACCCGCAAAGACATCTATAAATATTCCATTCACAATTCTATTAATTTATAACCATCCCAGAAACATTCAAATTACATGAACTAAATTTTTGTACCACACAATGAAAATCATCCCTTTTTACTTGCAGAGAATGTGTAACAGTCATGAGACTCTAAAATCACCTTAGCAATCCAAGAAAAAAAATAAAAATGCATTGAGCTTAACTTCAGAGTCCAGCTATAACTCAAGTTGGACTATAGTAACACATCAGGAGAGGAGGAAAAAGAAAAGGTAAGAAACGTAATGTGGGACTACATATAAACTACCAACTAACACCACTTAAACCTAAATTAACTAACCAGAAAAAACAAAACAAACTCTATTGAAAACATAAAATCATACCCGTTACCCATAACTGAATTGATTATCAAAATTAAGAATTACTAAAACCCGTAAGAATTCACAATAACTAAATAACTAAAAAAAAATAACAATAACGAGACTCACAATAAAATTACCTGAAAGCTTTCACCTTTTCCCAAAAGGGTGTCCAACCATAGTCTTAGGATCTGAAAAAAAATGAAATGAAAAATAAAAGGGGAGCTCAAAAAGCCACTGAAGCGAGGGTTCAGAACATCAAGATGTGGATCGTAAAAAGAAGATGGGGAGTTTAGTGGATAGAGGGTGAAGGAAGAGGAATTTGAAAAGAGGTTGAGGAAAATTGGCGGGGAAATGGAGAAAATCGGAATTAGGAGAAGAAGGGTAAGGAGAAGAGAGGAAGATTGGGAATTAGAAGGGTACGAGAAGCATCGGTTCTGAGGGTTGAGAAGGGAAATACAGGTTTGGGGCTATCCACAAAAAGAGGGTATTTAGGTCAAAGGAATTCAACCTCTCCATTTTTGGGTTTCACGGAATTACTGTTTTGCCCCATTGCATCCTAATAACCTTCGTTTTCTTAGTATGTAAATATTTATCATGATTTTGTAACCAAAAAAAAAATAAAAATAAAAATTATCTTGATTTTATAATGATTTTGTTTTGGAGGGTGAGGTGAGGAGATTATGACATATTATTTAAAAAATAGCAATATGGTGCATGGTTTATAAGGCAGTAATAAATGTAATTTATGTTAGACAAATATTAAAGTATAAGATGTTATGTGCTAATGTTTTATGTCCAATAATGGTCGTTGTAATTCTCTATGTTATTTCTTTTTTATTGGTAACTATATTCTATATTATTTAATCTACTCTGCGCCAGTAATATACATGCATAGAATGTTTATAGTCAATGTAAAAATATTTGTGATCAATGGCAGTGCTATCGTAATTAATAGAGTTGTCCAAGTTATATAATGTTTATCTCTGTTCATATGTAGTATGATAGAGTCTTGCAATCACAATATAGTTTATTAGTCTCTAATTGTTTTTTCTAAAAACGACAAAGTATTACGTGTAAATGTTTTATGCGCGGTATTATTACATTGTGATTTTTTTTTTTGTTATACACTAAGAATCTATCAATTGACCGTGCCTACCAACTAAATAAAAAGTAAAATATTTATAATTAAAATTCAAGAATTGTATTTTTTTTATATTTTTATTTTTAATTCCTCATAAAAGTATAGTCGTAAATCTAAGTAATTAGAAAACGAGCTCAGTTAGCTTCAATCTGATAGTGAAACTCATACAGATTTAAAGTGAAATGTGTACGCAGCATTATAACAATGGTATTCAGTACACTTACACGAACCTAATTTTACATATTTTAATTTTTTTACCAGTTGATTATAATTAGGTTTGTCTCGTTTCTACACAATTATATTTCAAGTGTGATGAGTCTTACATTGATTGGTAATAGACTGAGTGAAGAATATATAAGTAGAAAGATCCATGAACTCAATGCTTAAAGTTTTGGGTTAAGATGTGGTGTCGGACCCACTTGCTACGGTTGGGCTAGCGTAGCCCATTGATGGTGGTCTCTCGCCACGAACTTCTTCTGGACTCGCCTGATAGTGGTATCAGAGCCTGGTGGGTTCAAGCTAGCTAGATGTTTGGCTAGGAGGCGGGTTGAGTACTTTGATCCTGGACTACTCGGTTGAGGAGGAGGATAACAATGGTGATTTGGTAATACCTCTTAGAAAATTTAGAAATGTTCTAGGTTTGGTGAAAATAATTGATAATTGCATATGCATTGAATGAAGGTCCTTGAGCATAACTCCAAACCTAAGTCTTGTGCTAGCGGTCTTTTGTATGTGATTTAAGGCATGTTTGGTGTGACACATAAGGCATGATAGTATAAGCTTATACTATACGTTATGACATTTTCAGTTGTTTAGTGTGACCATCGTATAGTATAACCTTATACAACATAATCTCTTAATACATCAAAACAATGTATAACTTAATCCGGCCTAAGAGTGAGGGATAAGGCCTGATAAGAGATTGATGTATTAACATCGTTGACCAATGTAATTCTCAAAAATTAATATATTATTTTAATATTAATCTATTAAAATAAAAATTAATTTTTCAATATATTAATTTTTAAAATATTGAAAATAATATATATTTTGGACACACTGATCAATAATATTTTATAAAAATTAATATCATATGACATTCTTTTTGAAGAATTATATAAATTCTTTATTAAATGATATTTTTATTAAAAATATTTATTTTTATCATATATAGTATTATACAGTGCATTACCAAATACTATATGATATTATCTTATACAATATCGTGCCAAATGCGGGATAGTATTAAAATTCAATCAGGTCTTATACAATCAAGCCTTATACTATCAGGTCTTATACTATCAGATTTTATCTTTTACTATGCACCAAACATGCCCTAAAATGAGTTTACGTGTAGATTTTTTTTGCGAGGAGTGTAGTGTGTGGTATGCTTTGTTTTTTTGATTATTATGTTTTATGAAATAAGTTGGAGATTCGTGATACTTGTTGTCATTTCTGTATATATTTCATAAAATGACCTTTTATTTGATTACTGAGGGTTGTTTTTGTTTTTTAATAAAAAAATGTTCGACAGTTGTATTTAGCCCAAACCGGCTCTGATATCAGAGTCAGGCGGGTTCCGGAGGAGCCCGTGGCGGAGAACCACCACCAATGGGCTAAGCTAGCCCATCCATAACAAGTAAATTTGACACTATGTCTCAACTCAAAATCTTAAGGCATTAGGTACATGGGTTCATCCACTTATATGAACTTCCTTTAGCTTATCAATGTGAGACTCATCACATTTGAATATTCCAACAACCTTCCCCTCAAGTGCGAAATCCACTCAACCGAGTACCCAAGCCCAAAGTACTCAACCATGTCACAACCCAAAATCTTAAGGCATTAGGTTCATGGGTCCCCCACTTATATACACTTCACTTAGCTCATTACTAACTAATGTGGTACTCATCACACTTGAATATCTCAACAATCTCCCCCTCGAGTGTGAAACCCACCATTGGTATGCTCCCCCTCAACCAAGTACCTTAAGGCCAAAGTACTTAACCCGCCTCCTAGCCAACCGCCATACTACCTCGAGCACAACTTGACTCTAATATCACTGTCAGGCAGGTCCAGAGAAAGCTTGTGGCGGGAGACCACCACCAATGGGTTAAGCTAGCCCATCAATAGTAAGTGGATCCGACACCATGTCTCAACCCAAAATCTTAAGACTTTGGATTCATGGGTCCCCCCTACTTATATACACTTCAATTAACCCATTATCAACCAATGTGAGACTCATCATATTTGAATATTCCAACAATCTCCCCCTCAAGTGTGAAATCCACAATTGATATGCTTCCACTCAACCGAGTACCCAGGCCCAAATACTCAACCCGGCTCTGATACCACTGTCAGGCGGGTTCCAGAGGAGCCTGTGACGAGGGACCACCGAAAATGGGCTAAGTCTATACCACTTTCATAAATGAACGGCGCTTTGTGAATCACACATTACCTTGGGAGTATCCTTACCTAAACCCAACTCAGAAGTGATCCCTTTGAGCCATAAAGCGCCTTCACAACTTCGGTCAATGCAACATACTTTGCCTCCGTTGTTGATAATACTACAATATGCTGCAAATTAGCTTTCCAACTTATCACATTACCCCCAACCGTAAAGATAAACCCAGTAAAAAATCTCCTCTTATCCAAATCAGATGCGTAATCTGAATCACAAAAGCCTTTCACAGAAAAATCATCAGCATTTTCTGCATTAAAATGCAAACATTAATTAAAAGTTCCATTCAAATACCTAAAATCCATTTTACACCATCCCAATGGTCTTTATTTGGTTTAGACATAAACCTACTTACCATACTTACACTATATGCTAAATCAGGCACAGTACTGATCATAGCATACTTAAGTTACCAATGGCATTTGAATATGGTACCTTCTACATGTATTCAGCTTCATCATCACTCAACACACCATTAACAGATTTCAATCTAAAATGGGCAGCAAGAGGCACATTAGTAGGCTCACTTATATGCAAAGAAAACATATTCACAATTTTCTTTACATATAGAGATTGTGACAGAGTAAGGGTTTTTATTTTCCTATTTCTGTCAATGTCCATTCCCAAAATTTCTTTTGCTGGACCTAAAAGTTTCATGTTAAACTATTTCATCAACATTTCTTTTAGCCTATTAATGCAGTTTATATCACGTGAAGCAATTAGCATGTCATCTACATAGATTAGCAAATAAACATAGCAATTCTCACCAATATTCATATAATAAACGCAGTGACCATAACTACATCTAGAGAAACCTAAAGAGACAACATATTCATCAAATCTCATATGCTATTGCTGAGGTGACTGACTGTTTTAGGCTGTATAAGGATTTTTTCAGCAAGCACACTTTTCTTTCAAAGCCTCTCTTTACGAAGCCTTAAGGCTGTTCCATAAAGATTTCCTCATCTAAATTGTTCCAATTCAAGATCAAAAACAGCAAAAACAGACAATATTAATCTAATGAAACATGTTTTATCACTGGTGAAAATATATTATGGAAATCTATACCTTCAACTTGTGATTAACCTTTGGCTACCACCCTTGCCTTATACCTAGCATCTTCTACACCAAGTATTGCGGGTTTTTTTCTTATAAACTCACTTACACCCAATAACTCTCTTACCTTGCGAAGGATCAACGAACACCCAAGTATTGTTTTTACTCAATGATGCCATTTCCTCCTCCATAGCCTGCTGCCATTTCTCTCTGGTTTTCATCCTCATTGCTTCCGTGTAGGTTATAGGTTCTTCTTCTTCTAAACATTTTCCAACCTGCAATGCAAAAGCAATGACATCATTTGATATGGTGGCGGGCGACCAAATGGTAGCTGAGTTGAGCTAGCCAAGTGGTGGACCTGCCTAGGCCCGACACCATGTCACAACCCAAAGCCTTAAGGTTTTGGGTTGAGACATGGTGTCAGATCCATTTGATATGGTGGGCTAGCTTTAACCCATTGATGGTGGTCTCCCGTCATGGGCTTCCCTTGAACCCGCCTGACAATGGTATCAGAGCGGGGTTTGGCTCCGACTATACACATATTTGGCTAGGAGGCAAGTTGAGTACTTTGGACCTGGGTACTCGGTTGAAGGAGAGATATCAATGTTGGATTTCACACTTGAGAGAGAGATTGTTGGGATATTCAAGTGTAATGGTCCCACATTGGTTGGTATTGGACTAAGTGAAAAGTATATAAGTAGAAGAACTCATGAACACAATGCCTTAAAGTTTTGGGTTAATATATGGTGTCAAATCTACTTGCTACGATTGGAGTAGCTTAGCCCATCGGTAATGGTCTCTTCACCATGAACTTCCCCTAAATCCGCCTCACACCTTCTTTAAGCAATATTGAAAGCAATAATGGTGGAAGGAAAAAGATTAGATGACATGATTGTATACCCGGACTATTAGGACATATATTCCTTTGAGACATTTTCCATAAACCATCATATTGGACTATTGGATTTGTGCTATAATCAAGCAAAACTGGCTGTCCGAGTTGAACTCTTCGGAGAAGAAATAATGTGCTTATTATTTGGCAATGAACTTGTAAAAAAATTGATACTGTATTTCCCTTACCCAGGTGGATTTTACATGTCATTCTTGAGATATTTAAAAGGAAATCACCTCCCATGAGATTTATTTTATCTTGTTAAACAAAATATGTATTGTTACAATATCTTAAAGAATTTTAAAATACTTTTGAACTAAACGTTTTTTAAGACTGGATTTTGATCAGGTTGATTTGGAATGACATGGTTCCGTTTTTCGAACCTTAAACTAAACTAATATTAAAAACTAAGCACATAACTCAAGTTAAATTGGCTAGTTTTTAAAATTCAACTAAATCTGCTTTATTTTGTTTGTTGGTTTGGGATAATTTCTTACACCATTTTTAATTTATTATCTCACATCTCTATTTCAATTAGCCTAATAGTGTAGTTAGAGAAAGATAGAACATCTTGTTGTTTGAGACGCTGAGACGCATTTAGTATAAGTTTGATTGTTTTTTGAGACCAGCTTGACCTTTATTTGGATCACATAGTTCTTGCCTAAATGTTGAAATTTAATTTTACTTTACTCTTTTTTTTTTATATTTTTCTTCATGTCCGTAAATTTTTTTCATAATTAGAAAGAGGAGCACCCAAAAAAAATGGTCTCGGTCGACCAAAAATCCTCTCGACTAGTGAATCTTATGTACTCCCACTGTACCTACAGCGTTTCTTAAATTAGAAAACAAGTAGGATATCAAAGGAAATAAACAAAAAAAAATATGAATTGAAATGATACATAATTTTACTTCATCAGAATAAAAAAATGAAGTGTGCTGCACCTTAAAATTTTTCATTACGAGGGGAAATTAATTCCCTAGTTCCTTTCTCTCTCCTCCTTCTTCCTCTCTCTTCGGCGTTGCATTGCTCACGGACCACTAGGGGTGTTCATCAACTGATCCAAACCGATTCAAACCGCGAAAACCGAACCGAAAAACCGATAACCGAATAAATCGAAAACCGAAAAATCGAAAACCGAAAGAAAACCGCAAATTTTAATTAGATTGGATCGGTTTTCGGATGGGTTGATGAAAACCTATTCAATCCAAACAATTCAATATATTAATTATCCTCTACCTACTTGTCCTTTCCCCAATTATAGCCTAAAAATTTCTAAACTCAAGACCCATTAACTCATCAACTAAATCCAAAAAAAAAACTTAGTCACGTCTCATCAACTATAGTATTGTTTACTAATATTTTTGTATTTCAATTTTTTTTTACAAAGCCAATATATACAAAAGATGTTATTTGCACAATAATCATGAGACTAATTTTAGATATTCAAAAAACCGAAAACCGAACCAATCCAAACCAAAAAAAATTGGATTGGATCGGATTGGATTTGAAAAAAAATATAAACCGAATGGATGATTATATTATCAAACCGAAGGGATTGGATCGGATGAGTTTTGCTTCCAAAACCGTTCTAATCCAGACCGCGAACACCCCTACGGACCACTACATATTTGCTGGTTATGAGGGGCCTGTTCTAGTGACAGCTGGAAATGCACTTTCGGCTCCAAATTCCAAGTCTCAACCTTTATTTAGTTTATTCTTATTTTAAATAACAACTTTTTGAATTTTATAATTTTATTTAGAAAAAAGTTTGAAAATCCTATGTGCTATTATTTTAAATTACTTATACTTCAGTGTTTTTTTTATCTATATTTCTCCTTAACACTGTTAGAAAATCAATTAACGGGAATGTATTAGATTAGAATTTTAAAAGATTTTTTTAAGATACAAATCTTATAAATTTTAAAGATTATTTAGAATTGAAAGAACTTTAAAGACCTTTTTTAAGACTTTTTTTACAATCAAGATTTCATATGATTGTATTTTAAAAGATTTTAATAAATTTTATAAGATTTGAAAGGATAATATGGATTTATAAGATTTTAAAAAATCATATGAATTTTTATCAAATATTCAAAATTACAAGAATTAATAAAAAATTAACAAAGAAATCTAATGATATTAATAAATAAAAAGTAAAATCTAATACAATTAAAATGTAATATAATTTTTAACAAACATTCAAAATTATTAAGCAACAGCTCTCCACATATCTAAAGTTATGTTAGTCCTCCACACATTATCATTTTTTCGTTTATGCTCTTAGATTTGACCAATAGATTGAAAATTATCTTCTTCATTTGGTATGAGAACTATACATATATGATTATAAGACCCGATTTTTTTATTTATTAAAATAATTCTAAAATTTTCATATAGAACCTAAAGTTCATGATAAAATTTCATTTGAATTGTTCTGCAATTGATTTGGGAAACCTTGGGATTTTTGTTCTACGTGATGAAAATTTTCTAACCATATATCATATGCATGTTTTCATTGAGTATTCTAAAAAAAACTGAATTTGAATTTTTGGGTTTTATTAGATGAAAGTTTAGAAAATTTCTCAAATTATTTTTAATCGATACATTGAAACCTTAAATTGTTTTAGAGCTTTTGAAAAACAAATTTTTAGTTATCTATTGATACAAAAATTGTTTGAAATCGTTTCCTATAACGAAGAAATTTCGTTCATGAATGTATTGTTGCGAAATATAGGGTTCATATTATGAAAGTTTCAATCTTTCTTTAAATTGTTATTGTTTTATTGACGTAAAATAAAAATTGGTTTGAAGGTTTTAGTTCCCCTATTGTTTTTCCACTGTTTTATGTCGTTTTTAATAAAAAAATCGTACCTTTTTATATCAAGAAAAACGGTGACTCATAACTTGAAAAATTATTTTTTAAATTTTCAAAAATCACTCAAAAATTTATTTTTTTAGATGGATTATATTAGAATCTTGGTTTGTTATTTCTGGTTATTTTATGATGAAAATCACTCAAAAATTTGCTATTTTTGAGCTTTGACAAAGCTCCAATAGCGGACCCCAGTTTCGAGCGGGTCAACCCGCCAAAAGAAGAAGAAGACACTGCAATAAATATATCTGAAGAAATCCTATGGGTTAAGGTGAGATCGTGAGAGAGACATCCTATTTATATTTCTCACTAAAAAATTTCACGAAATTCACACCAATAGAAAATTCATTAAAATCGTTAGATTTTTGAATACCACAAGATTGTTTTTCCTTTCGTTTAAAATTCTGATTGAATACCAACAGATTTGGACAGAGTCTCAAAAAATATTTTAAAATCCTAATTGAATACCACATGACTTTTTTTTTCAATCCTTTAAAATCGTAATTGAATAGCAATAAATTTTTTTGTCCAAATATAATCCAATAAAACCCTTTGAAATCTCAATTCAATACGCCCCTAGTATACCTTTCTTAGAAGAAGAAAATAAAGTGATAAAGAAAAAGGAAAATAAGGTTATGGAAACTTATAACACTTAAATAAAAGATTAAAATAAAAAATAGCAAAAAAAATCAAATGTGTTATGTGTCTAAATAAAATAAATAAATGTATAAAAAATAGAATAAGAATAAAAAAAATTAAAGAAAAAACAAGATCAAATATGTTAAAAATCACAATAGTAGCAGAAGATATTAAAATTTTAAAAACAAAAGTCTAAATGAAAAAATAGAAGAAAATATTAGGATAAAAAATAAAATAAAACAAAAAGAAATCACAGTTTTAAATTTCTAATATATTTGCTTTTATTTTTTTCTATTTTTTTGTCCTTGATCTATTTATTCTTTTTATTTAAATTTGTTTCATCTTTTTTATATCTATATTTTATTCTCTCTGTTTTTTTTTTACGAAAATCTTTAGTAGGTGTTATTACTTTTTAGGCTAAAAAAAGTTGAAAACAAAATTAGAATAAAGCAGATCAAAAAGTGAAAAATTAAAATAAAATAGAAAAAAGGTCAAATATATCTAAATAAAAAAAAATAAAGTAGACCAAGGATAAAAAAGAAAAAAAAAATAAAACCAAATATATTGAAAACTTATTTTTATCTTAGTTGTTTCTTCTAGTTTTTGTCTTCGGCATTTTTTTTCATTTGGACTTTTATTTTTAATATATTTGATTTTATTTTTTCCTATTTTTTTTTCTTATTTTATTTCCTTTTTTTTTACATTTATTTCTTTTTCTTTATTTTGACACATTTGATTTTTATACTATTTCTTCTTTTAGTCTTTTATTAAGTGTTCTAAGTTTTCATAATATTTGTTGTTATTTTTTTTTTATCAATATATTTTCTTCTTATAAGAAGTTAGAATATGTATACTTAATTAATGATGTCGATAAAAAAATTGAAAAAAAGTTAAGTGATTAAAAAAGAAAAAACATAGAAATGTATAGCAATAACTCAGGGGAGTTTTTTGAACTTTTCCTTTTTATTTATTTATATTATATCTTAACAACGTCTAATTCAACTCAAACACATATTAAAATAATATGATCATGTTATCCTATTTACATCAAATTCAAATTAGGATAGAAACTCTGGTTTCAATGGGATATTGGTGCCTAACCTCATTTAATTTATTTGTTTTTTTTTGAGTTTTTTCAAAATATCCTCATTTATTGGGCTTTTTTGGTAACCCCACTTAAACTTTCTTTTATCAAAAAATTAGGATACAATCTTATTACTTGGAAATCAAGGAATCCGTGTTCTGCTTTCCCCTCGCGTTTTTGGTTTGTGTCGCTTGTGCTTGAAAAGGTACACACACACACTCTCACGACGACTAAGAAGGTGTTCGCTGCGAAAACTGAGCATTGAAGGTATGCTTCACACTCTGCGCATAGTGTGGTCGGGACACACCACTTCACCTTTTGTCTCCAGACGTTATCATCCCTTTACCAATACAACTTCACTCGGCTTCTATACGGAGCAAACTCCTTCCTTATCTCCGTTAAAGCTAAAACACTGTCACCTCCTTTGTCAAGCATCACAGGATGCAGTTCCTCTAAGGTTGGCTTTCTCTCTCCTTTAGTTTTTTGTGAGGTTAAAGTTTGCATTTTTATTAACGGGGTTGGTTTGCTATAGACTTCTTTTAACAATACCATTTGTCAGCTTTCTCTGCCTTAAGGCATATAAATTTTTAAAGTTTCTGAACCTTGGAATTTCATAAAAAGCCCACAAATTTCCACCATGATGTTGTTTGTGTGTAGGAATGATGAATTACTTGTCCATGAACCATCTGAAATGATTGTTGGGATTCTGGGAGGAGGTCAACTCGCTCGCATGCTATGTGAAGCTGCTTCTCCAATGGGAATTAAAGTCATGGTTTTAGATCCACGGGAGAACTGCCCGGCGAGTTCACTGTGTTATCATCATATGGTTGGAAGCTTTGATGACAGCACTACAGTTGAGGAATTCGCCAAGAGGTTCAAGTTTTTATACAATAATTGTTATTTTAAATTTCTCATTTGCTATATCATTTAAGGGGAATAATGTATATATGCTGGTTTGATATGGTGTTCAGATGTGGACTACTAACTTTTGAAATCGAACATGTTGATGTTGCTTTGCTGGAAAAACTTGAGAAACAAGGAGTTAATTGCCAACCCAAAGCCTCCACTATCCGAATTATTCAGGTATTATCGTGGCATATTGATGGAATTGTTCTAATTTTCACATGTAGTGTCAATAGATGAAATGAACAATTAGATATTTTCAACTCATGTATAAAGTATTGCCTTTGTATATCTCACATCACAAATGTTTCATACTGAGCTTGACCGTATGCTTCTATTTTGGAATTTGTTATTTCCATGATTTTCCCTTTAAATGGATTTGTTTTACGTAGGATACTTTTTTCAGCCCATCATAGACATGCTAATGTGAATATTTTTAAAGATAACAATAATGTTATTATCTGAATGATTTCATTTATATGACTATTCAATATATTTCAGGATAAGTATCAGCAGATGGTTCATTTCTCTCAGCATGGCATTCCGCTTTCTGACTTTATGCAAGTTAGTACCTGTTTATCTTGGTCATAGTAGTATTTAAAAATTCATCTTTAGGATACTAATTGAAGATACTTAAATATTACATTGAACAGATAGGTGATCTTGAAGGTGCAAAGAAAGTAGGGGAACTCTTTGGCTATCCTCTTATGATCAAGAGTAGGAGATTAGCTTACGATGGGCGGGGAAATGCTGTTGCTAGTAGTGAAGAGGAACTTCCTTCTGCTATAGATGGTAATTAGTCTTTTAACCGGTGTATCTTTGTCTTTTCTTTCTTTGAATTCATACTTCTTGTCTTTCATTAGCCTTGAGAAAAAGAAAAAAATCCTTCTGCCTACTTGATATGTGCACACTTCTGTTTTACTTTTTCTTCTTTAACTTTTTGCCCTCCAACTTTGCAGCTCTTGGAGGATTTGATCGTGGTTTATATGTTGAAAAATGGGCACCTTTTGTCAAGGTCAGTATCTAAAATATCTTAAATGCTGATGGTGATTTTTCAATCCATGATTCACTAATTGTATGATGGAGAAGTGGTATTGCTGGTGTTAAGCCACCAAATCTTTAATTTTTGTATGTTGTGATTTGTAGAATATCTAGAATATTCTACAATCGTTGGATCCTTGATTCAGGGGCCTCTGATCACATGACAGGTAATGCAACCTTATTTTTCTCCTATACCCCTTACTATCACCCGTCACGAATAAGAACAGCTGATGGGAATTTCTCCACTATTGCGGGAAAGGGATCCATTAAACTTTCTGAGCATATTATTTTGAACTCAGTACTTCATGTTCCCTCTCTTACTTGTAATCTCATCTCTATTAGCAAACTTACTGCTGAGTTGCATTGTGTTGCTAAGTTCTCTGCAAATGCTTGTATCTTTCAAGAACAGGACTCGGGGATGAAGATTGGCAGTGTTAGAGAGGAAGAAGGGCTATACTATTTTACAGATGTTCATTGTGAAAAGAGGATTTTTTCGAACCACTCTCTATGTTTATCAGATGACTGTAATGATGTTTTGTTATGGCATCGTAGGTTGGGACACCCAAATTTTGTTTATCTCCAGGAGTTATTGCCGAACTTATTTATCAATAAAAAGCCAAGTTCCCTTCTTTGTGATATTTGTCAGCTTGCAAAGCACTCTCGTGTCACTTATTCTCCTAAGAAATATCATGAATCTTCTCCCTTTACATTGATTCATAGTGATATTTGGGGACCTGCTCGTGAAAAAAATGTCTCGGGTGCTCGTTGGTTTATTACTTTCATTGATGATCATTCTAGGGTATGTTGGGTATATCTCTTCAAAGATAAGTCTGAGGCAGCATCCACTTTTAAAAACTTTCATGCTATGATTCAAACTCAATTTCAGACTTCTATCAAAATTCTGCGAACAGACAATGGTACTGAATATTTTAATTCAGTTCTTGGAGATTACCTAAACCAGCATGGAATTATTCATCAAAGTTCTTGGGAAACCAAATGATGCTGCTGTCTTACCTTGGCCTTTGGAAACAGGTGGAGTTATTGGGAAGGAAACATGGGGAGCAACTATACCTGAATCTAATGATCCTCCTTGTGATCCTCCTGGTAAATGGGGAAAATTTTACAGCAGGCGCAAAACACATGAAGATACTCTAGACTGCCAGGATCCTGACTCGAGTCCTTGTTCCAGCAACCCACTTGAATGTACTAGTACAACCAACGTTGATATGCCTATTGCTCTTCGGAAAGGTACTAGATCTTGCACTGCTCATTCTATTTCCCATTATATCTCATATGAAAAGTTGTCTCCAGGTTTTCGTGCTTTCAAAACTATGTTAGTTAGTACCAGGATACCCAAAAATATCCAAGAAGCACTTGATGACCCAAAATGGAGGAATGCAGTATTAGAAGAAATGGATGCACTTACAAAAAATGGAACATGGGAGTTTGTGACATTACCTAAAGGAAAGAAAACTGTTGGTTGCAAGTGGGTGTTCACAATAAAATTCAATGCAGACAATAGCATCAATAGGCATAAGGCCAGATTAGTTGCTAAGGGATTTACTCAGACTCATGGGATAGATTATCAGGAGACATTTGCTCCTGTTGCCAAACTTAACACTATCCGCGTTCTGCTATCTCTTGCCGCCAACCTTGATTGGCCATTGCAACAGTTAGATGTTAAGAATGCCTTCTTGAATGGTGATCTCCATGAGGAAGTTTACATGGATCCACCTCCTGGTTTTGAAAAAGGGGATGATTCTGTGTGCAAGTTGCAGAAGTCTCTCTATGGACTTAAACAATCTCCCAGAGAATGGTTTGGGAAATTTACTCAAGCTGTTAAGGGAAGAGGGTTCACCCAAGCTCAGACTGATCACACTTTATTTTTTAAACACTCCGACAAAGGAAGAATTGCTATTCTGATCGTTTATGTTGATGACATAATTGTCACTGGTAATGATAGCGAGGAGATAACTTCTTTAAAAAAATATTTAGCTGACCAGTTTGAACTAAAAGATCTTGGATCTCTCGAATATTTCCTTGGCATGGAAATTGCTCGGAGTAAGGAAGGAATTTCTTTAACTCAGAAAAAATACATTCTAGACCTGTTGCAAGAAACAGGTATGCTTGGGTGCAAGCCGACAGAGACTCCAATTGAAGCTAATATCAAGATGGGAGTTGAGGACGGGGAAGATGTTGATAGGGAGCAGTACCAGAGACTAGTGGAAAAATTAATCTATTTGTCTCACACTCGTCCTGATATTGCTTTTGCTGAGAGCTTGGTTAGCCAATTCATGCATTCTCCTAAGGAAAAACACCTTAGTGCTGTTTATAGAATTCTCAAATACCTCAAAAATACCCCTGGTCGAGGAATTTTCTTTAAAAAGGGGCACAAAAGGATGATTGAAATCTATACAGATGCAGACTGGGCTGGCTCTGCAATGGACCGAAGATCTACTTCAGGATATTGTACTTATGTCTGGGGAAACCTTGTGACCTGGAGAAGTACGAAACAAACTGTTGTTGCAAGAAGCAGTGCAGAAGCGGAATTTCGGGCTCTAGCCCATGGTATTTGTGAAGGAATTTGGTTACGAAGGCTTCTGGAGGAGTTGAAGATCTCTTATTCCCTACCTATCAAATTATATTGTGATAATAAGGCTGCTGTCAGCATTGCTCAAAATCCTGTTCATCATGACAGAACAAAACATGTGGAAGTTGATCGTCACTTTATCAAAGAGAAATTAGAAGACGGTAGTGTATGCTTGACATATATACCTACCAAGGAACAGACGGCGGATATCCTCACCAAAGGATTACTTAAGCCGACCTTTGAGAATTTGATCAGCAAGTTGGGAATGATCAATATATATCTCCCAACTTGAGGGGGAGTGTAGAATATGTAGAATATTCTAGATAGTATTTATTGATGTAGTTGGTAGTTGTATATTTATTGATGTAGTTGGTGGTTGTATATTTATTGATGTAGTTGGTGGTTGTATATTTATTAAAGTAGTTGAGGTAGTTGGATGTACTCAATATAAAAAGGACCCATTGGGTCTCTCAATGAATCAAGAAAGTATTATTCAGATAAAACACTTCTTCTTTTCTTCATGATTAATTTATTGACTTCGCTCCAATAAGTTTGTGATGATGATGTTGATGTGATGTGCCTGTAATAATTTATTGATCTTTAATTTTTCAATCCATGATTCTTTTGATTGTTAACTACAGTTATGTTCTCAATCAGATAATAATGCCCTATTTTTTATCCTGTAATCTCTACATTTTTTACCTCCAATGGTTTGTCTTTCATAAATGTGAATTATTTGGAGATGAAACTTATTCCAGTGTCATACTATGCTCCCATCACTTGCAAAATGCTCTTACTACTAAATCTTCTCTGTTTAGAAAATTATGATTACACTTCCTAGTGCTTTCATACAATTTATCTATGTTAAAGCTGTTAGTTCAAGCATGTCTTTTGATTCAGAAAAAAATGTCTTTTATATATTAAAACTCCCAATTTTCGTCATGTTAGTTTATGAGTTTATGAATTTTCTTACATTTTTTCTCCTAAAATAATTGCAGGAACTAGCTGTCATTGTGGTGAGGGGAAGAGAGAATTTGATTTCAAGCTATACTATTGTTGAAACTATTCATAGGTAACATGCACAGCACTTACAAGCTATTTATATGGAAAATTTAAAATGCAAGATTTACCACAGATCAAATTCAAAACCAAGCTATGATAATTTAAATGAATCAGAAATATACCACTTCAGTTTTCTTATAGATCTGCTTGAGGATTTTATGTTTTGGTCTAGGGACAACATATGCCACATAGTTAAGGCTCCAGCTAATGTGCACTGGAAGATTCGGGAGCGGGCTACGGAAATTGCTTGCAATGCTGTTAACTCTCTAGATGGTGCTGGTGTGTTTGCAGTTGAATTGTTCTTGACTAGGGATGGGCAGGTAGTGAATTTATTTATTCATCTAATGTGGACATCCTCATTGTTTTTTTCTTCTTGAATGCTACACTGGCTTCTTTTTACTAGTAAATTCTCAGCTGTTTCAAATGTGTTGAGATATATAAAACCATTAATGTAGCCTCACCCAACAGCTTAAGCTTTTGGGTTGAATTGGTTCTTTACATGGTATCAGAGCCTCGCCGTCCCCCACTTTCTCTTGTGGCGTTTCTTAGCACAGGTAGGCTGGGCCTGTTGCGTTGTCCACTCTTCAAGCCCAATGGGCTCTTGTGTGAGGGGGCGTGTTGAGATATATAGTCCCACATTGGTTGTATGTGCAACTAATGTGGAGTTTATAAGGCCTTGGGCACTCCCACCCTTTGAGCTAGCTTTTGGGGTGGTGTATCCCAAGGTTCTTTACAAAATGCATTATTATTTGTTTGTTAATCCCCTGATAGAGACTGTGCCTGTGTTTCTTGACAGATTTTATTAAATGAAGTAGCGCCTAGACCTCACAATAGTGGGCATCACACAATTGAATCTTGTTATACATCACAATTTGAGCAACATTTGCGGGCTGTTCTTGGTCTTCCCCTTGGTGATTCATCAATGAAAGCTTCAGCTGCTGTCATGTACAATATATTAGGCGAAGAAGAGGTATTAGAATTTAATTTTTCTCCATTGTCCTTTTCTTTTACCTTCTCTTTTGTAAATTTGAAAAAGAGATTTGGATTTTCTCCTATCCCTGTTGAAGTAGTGCTATTATTTTTGGTTGGGATTTATTGTGTTTCAGTATTATTATTACAGTGTTATTATAATAGCATGGTTGGAAGGGAGTGGTGCTATTACTAATGAAACGTATTTTCTCATTATTATATGCAGCAAATGAGAATGTAAAAGATGAATAGTAGCTTAGTTAATTATGTTATATTGATGTGAAAAAGATAAAGCAGTAGGAAATTAAACGCTTGTCAGTAATGAAAGTCATATTAGATATGAAATCTTATCTGCTGTCATGAACGTGAACACAAATGGTTGACCTTTTTTGTTTTTTAATTTTGGTTATACACTGAAAGGCTATTGAGTGCTCTCTTTTGTTCATTTACTTGTTTCAAGAAGATCATTCTATTCAATAAACACTGTTTCAGACTTAGTTTGTGAAATCTGCTTAATGATTTTAGGGGGAGCCTGGTTTACGTTTAGCTCGTCTATTGATCAATAGGGCACTGACCATCCCTGGGGCTAATGTTCATTGGTATGATAAGCCAGGTAAGCTTCTTTTTAAGTTGCAATTTGGGTTCATCACCCCCTCTCATTCGTCACTGTTTGATCACTTGTATGTCTAAATCAATGAAATCATTGTCATGACAATTGTCAGAAATGAGAAAACAACGGAAGATGGGCCATATCACCATTGTTGGGGATTCCCTAGCTGATTATTGAAAGCAATCTTACAGTAATGGTGGAAGGGAAAAGATTAGATGACAAGACTGCAGGTTGATGACACAAACTTCTCTTCACTCAATACTTTATCTTTGTAGTTATTGATCTTATGTTGCTAGACCAATGAAGAAAGATGGTTTTCCTAGTCAACTTCGTTTTATATCTTCATCATCTCATATGCAATAATTTAATGTGTACAAAGAGTAATTTGCAACTATATAACCAATTTAGTTAGACTTAGGATACATGTAATATACTAATATTTGAAGCATCGATCAGTTGTAACCATGTCAATTCTTTCCCCTGTCAATCAAAATATACACTGCCTGTCTAACCAAATATGTTTTTCTTTTTTTTCCCCTTTTCTATTATCCTCCTTTTGAATCGCAACCGCTATAGCATTTTTCAGGCCGCAATCCGCATTTGATAACTTTGCTCTTTGGTGAAGATTGAAAACTACCGTTCCATTACAATTAAGGAAAATGGAGTGGAGCATTATATTTGAAGAGAAAATTTTGTTATTCTCGCACTTAATTATGCTTTGTTTTGTGTGAAATGTAGTTGCTCCACGTGTAGGGATCATAATGGGTTCTGATTCAGATATATCTGTGATGAAAAGTGCTGTTGAAATCTTGGAGAAGTTTGGTGTGCCTTACGAGGTTAAATTATTTTAATTTCCCAAAGGGAGGGAGGTTATTTTGTATGAAGTTGTTTATCCTTTCTTATACCTACATGTGTCAAATTTCAGGTAAAAATTGTTTCAGCACACCGGACTCCACAAATGATGTTTTCTTATGCCTCCTCTGCTCACGACCGAGGCATACAGGTTATTATTGCTGGTGCTGGTGGTGCAGCTCACTTACCCGGTAAATTACTTAGATCGTGCTTTGCATATTTTTCTTAAGGATCAATTGTCTTATTGGCATTTGTAATAATTAAGCTTTCATATCTCAGGTATGGTTGCCGCTGTTACTCACTTGCCTGTGATTGGTGTTCCTGTGAATGCTTCTTTCCTGGAAGGATACGATTCACTCTTATCGATTGTCCAGGTATATTTTTTAATGATGTTTTGTAGGATTGCCTTTCTAGTGATGAGATAATAACATGCAATATTTTTGTAACTTTGGTATTACTGCTTCATTTTTAAAAGCTTTAGATCTATATTGTTTGGAATCCTTTTGAATGAAGGATTTTCTGCAAGTACCATATGGTAGTTAACAAAAGGACTATGGGTGAATTTGGTATTCTGTCTTCTTTCTAAAAGCTGTGCTGTTTAAAAGTTTCTTCACTATCTAGAACTTGCCATCACTAAGGAGTCTGTTAATTATATGAATGTTGTTAAGAGTGTTAGTGTTAATAGTGTAGAAGTCCCACATTGAATGTGTCTCTTTGTATTCTTCAATTGGTTTGCTATATAATAGCACCAATGTTGTGTAGTTTAATACAACAAAGATTACTATCATTTCCTCTTGTATCTATGAGATTTAACATGGTATCTAGAGCCTAACAAGAGGAATCTTAATCCATTTAACTTAGTTCTATTTTCCATAATTTCAATATGGTTATAGAGAGATATCACCCTCCTTGAGGGATTCCCGTTGTTATTTCTTTTTCGGGTTTTTCTTAGTATGCTCTGTGACTGCAGCTTAGACTGATCTGTCACATCAGAAAAGAATGATCCTTGGGAAGTTGTTGGGTTGACCACCGTTGTCGTTGACCGACCACCGTTGACCGCGTCGTCCACCGTTGACAACCGTCTCCGGCGACTTTTCCGATGACTTTCCGGCGATTTTTTCGGCGATCCACCACCGTCTCTGACGACTTTTTCGACGACCCACCGCCGTCTCCGGCGACTTTTTCGATTCCGCGAAGCTTTGTTTTTCTTTAATCTTCTTTCTTCCCAAGATGGAGTATTTATACTATTCATCATCCATCTTGAGGGGGAGCACTGTCCATGTTTCTGATGATCATTCCAGCACAATTGTCTTTTCCGATGATAATTCCGACACTGTTTAGAAGTTCCTCTTGAGGGGGAGCACTGTCCATGTTGCTGATGGTCATTCCAGCACAATTGTCTTTGCCGATGATAATTCCGGCACTGTTTAGAAGTTCCTCTTGAGGGGGAGCACTGTCCATGTTGCTGATGGTCATTCCAGCACAATTGTCTTTGCCGATGATAATTCCGGCACTGTTTAGAAGTTCCTCTTGAGGGGGAGTACTGTCCATGTTGCTGATGGTCATTCCAGCACAAATTGTCTTTGCCGATGATAATTCCGGCACTGTTTAGAAGTTCCTCTTGAGGGGGAGCACTGTCCATGTTGCTGATGGTCATTCCAGCACAATTGTCTTTGCCGATGATAATTTCGGCACTGTTTAGAAGTTCCTCTTGAGGGGGAGCACTGTCCATGTTGCTGATGGTTATTCCAGCACAAATTGTCTTTGGCGATTATAATTCCGGCACTGTTTAGAAGTTCCTCTTGAGGGGGAGCACTGTCCATGTTGCTGATGGTCATTCCAGCACAATTGTCTTTGCCGATGATAATTCCGGCACTGTTTAGAAGTTCCTCTAGAGGGGGAGCACCGTCCATGTTGCTGATGGTCATTCCAGCACGATTGTCTTTGCCGATGATCATTCCGGCATCTTCCATGTTGATGTTCATTTCGACGCCATTTTTAGCACATTGTTGATTTTTGGTTTCTCATTTAGGAGATTTATTTTGATGTTATGTTACTTGGTCTTTCTTGTAATAAGCTTGTAGCATAGTCAAGGGGAAACCACGGCTTCTCACCAACTGTTAAATGAAATGTCTGAGAGGGATCTTGATGCTGATGTCCTGATCAGCTCAGTTGTCTTTGCCGATGATAATTCCGACACCATCCATGCTCTGATGTCCATTCCAGCACTGTCTCTTTATCAGCTCTTCAGACTAATGGTCATTCCAGTTGATTTGTTGTACTTAGTCATTTCATTTCGTTGATGTAACATTGTTGTTTTTGGTTCCTAATGGGAGTATTATTTATGTATCAAGCTTGTAGCATATGATCTATATGCTACAGCTTGAGGGGGAGTGTTAAGAGTGTTAGTGTTAATAGTGTAGAAGTCCCACATTGAGTGTGTCTCTTTGTATTTTTCAATTGGTTTGCTATATAATAGCACCAATGTTGTGTAGTTTAATACAACAAAGATTACTATCATTTCCTCTTGTATCTATGATATTCAACAAATGTTAATTTTTGATTCATTATTGTATGAAAATCAATTTGGATTTATGCCAGGAAGATGTACCATGGAAGCCATTTTCTTGATGCGACAACTAATGGAAAGATACCGAGAAAAGAAGAAGGACTTGCATATGGTGTTCATAGACCTTGAGAAAGCATACGATAGGGTTCCAAGGAAAGTTTTATGGTGGGTCCTGGAGAAGAAAAAGGTTCCATTAAAGTATGTAAAGGCAATCAAGGATATGTATGATGGGGTTACTACATGTGTAAAAGCTTGTAGCGGATCATCAGGTTATTTTCCTATCACGGTAGGTGTACACCAAGGGTCGGCTCTAAGTCCTTACCTATTTGCCTTAGTTATGGATGAACTAACAAAAGATATTCAAGAGGAAGTGCCATGGTGTATGCTTTTTGCAGACGATATTGTGCTTATTGATGAGAGCAAGGAGGGTGTTAATAGAAAACTTGAATTGTGGAGAAGCACATTGGAATCCAGAGGATTCACATTAAGTCGAAGCAAGACTGAGTATCTGAAGTGTGAGTTTTCTCTGGTACAAGATGAGGACCAAGAACCTGTGCATCTAAATGGTCAAGAGGTACCCAAAAAAAAATGCTTTTAAATACTTGGGCTCCATTTTACAAAATGGTGGAGAGATTGATGAGGATGTAAATCACAGAATCAGAGCAGGGTGGATGAAATGGCGTAGTGCATCTGCATTTTTGTGTGACCGCAAAATTCCCCTGAAGTTAAAAGGAAAATTCTATAAAACGGCAGTACGACCGGCAATGCTATATGGAGCGGAATGCTGGCCAGCACATAGGCAACATGAGCATAAGATGGGAGTAGCAGAGATGAGGATGTTAAGGTGGATGTGTGGGTACACAAGGATGGATAAGATAAGAAATGAAGATATTCGACGAAAGGTCGGAGTAGTACCGGTAGCCGAGAAGATGAGAGAACATAGATTGAGGTGGTTTGGGCACGTGATGAGAAGACCCATGGATGCTCCTGTAAGAACAGAAGTTTGTTACCAAGAGCTAAACACAAAAAGAGGCAGAGGTAGGCCGAAGCTTACTTGGGGGAAAGTAGTAAAACAAGATTTAATGGAGTGGGATATAGATTGGCGGACAGTATGTCTTAGAAAGGAATGGAGAAAAGCTATAAGTATGGTGGAGGGTTAGACTCGCTGTTATTCCTATGTTCCAGATGGTCCTTTTTTAGTCCTTTTCCCCTTCATTTCCCCCACTTCTTCTTGTCCCTTTCTTTTTTACTTTTATTTATTTATATATACATATATTTTTATTTCATTTTATTTTATTTTATTATTTTATTTGTGTATTTTTATTTATTTATTTATTTTTATTTTTTATTTTTTTTACTTTTTTTCAACCGTTTTGTATCTTTCATGTGGGTTCATCTACCACCGACCCCAATTAATTTGGGATAAAGGTGTTGTTGATGTTGATGTTGATGTATTGTATGAAAATGAAGGATGTCTTCCATAGATGGGAAAAAAAATGAATAATAGATGTTTACTTCTAAAAGCAACCTTGTTATGTTTTTGGAAGCAATTTGCGGAAAGCATAAACAGTTTTAAAGATGCACTTATTGATGAGTTCAGCAACTACCTGTAGCACTTGAGAATTAGTGCTGATAATTAGTAAACCTACACATTTTCCTTTGTTCCCTCTTTTGTTTCAATATCAGTTTTTTCTTGGTTAGTGGTGTGTCCTTCCCAGATTCACATATCTTTGTCAAATAATTCTCTCATCACTTCATTGGTTCAGCCTCATTGAATATCAGCTACAGTAGTTTTCATTTTCGCCCTCTTCAAAATTACCCTTGTTTTGCTTCTTTTTTGAGTAGGTCATTACATGACATGAATGAACAAAAAAAATATGGAGTCATTGTCAGATAGAGTATTCTGGATGACTACGTCAATTGGTGTAGAAGTAGGAACTTGCATCAACAGTGACCTTTTGCAACTATTAAACCTGATGATGCAATGTTTTCTTACTAACGAACATTCTTGATTCTTGTTGGGCGTGCAGATGCCAAAAGGTGTCCCTGTTGCCACTGTTGGAATTAATAATGCGACTAATGCTGGATTATTGGCAGTGCAGTATTTGGGTATTGCCAATGATAATATTCGGTTAAGCCTGCCACTCTCTTCCTTTCTCTATGCCCGTCATTTAAAAATTATTTATTGAAGTAAAATTCATAATATGAAAGAAGTGGAAGTATTGTCTTGCTTTTGACTTATATTGATTTAACCTTTATAAAATTGTGCAGGATGATTCAATACCGAGAGGAACAAAAAGAAAGCGTCTTGATAAAAGGAGATAAAGTAGAAAAATATGGTTTGAAATCCTACTTAAATGGTACTTAGTTTAACCTATTTATTTGGTGATTCTTTTTAAGGTCTATTATTCCCATTGGCAGAGGACTACAAATTTTCGATAGACAACAGGGTTTCATATGGAGCGTGTTTAGACATGGGATGTTAAGTAGATTGAGAATAATTTGAGCTAAATTAAGAAAATATTTTGCAGTTTTATTAATAAAATCAATATCTTTTTTATTTCTAACATATAGCAGGAGGAGAAAAATGTAATCTGGCAGAAAAAACAAATGATTACCTGCCGTTGGTTGGATTAGACCGCCTGGAAAGCAAATGATTATGAGCCAAAATGTAGAGAGTTATAGCTGTCGTCTTATAATTTTTGGGTTGGGTTAAAGCAATTGAATGAAATTTTTTCGGTCACTTCAAACTTTTTGTGAGATAAGAGCTCTGTGTTTGTGTCTTGGGGAAAGATCCGTTTATAATTTATTTTTACAAATTACACTAAGTATAACCGGTTATATACTCTTAATTAGTATATGACCGGTCGGACATAGTGTAGTTTGTAAACAAAAAATTTGTACATATAACCTTTTCCTTGTTTATGTTATACAAATGCCTAGCGACTCATTGTTATTTTTTTTTTTAAAGATGGGATTACACTAGTACAGTTCAGACCAGATTTTGGTTTTATGTTTTCCATTTTTCACTTTTGGATTTGATTTATTATTTGGACATGTTGCAAGTGTTCAGTTGCAGTTTTTTACTTGCTTTCCCCCCTTGTATTTTAAAGCCCATTAGTAGTTTTCTTTAATTATTTGGCATAGCTTTATTTTTACTTTTATTTAAAAAAAGAAAAGAAATTGACAGACTTTCATTGGTATGATAAGCCAGGTAAGCTTCTTTTTAAGTTGCAATTTCAGATTGACCCTCTCATTCGTCACTGTTTGATCACTTGTATGTCTAAATTAATGACATCATCATCATGACAATTTGTTAGAAATGAGAAAACAAGGGAAGATGGGCCATATCACTGTTGTTGGGGATTCCCTAGCCGATATTGAAAGCAATCTTACTGTAATGGTGGAAGGGAAAAGATTAGATGACAAGACTGGAGGTTGATGACACAAACTTCTCTTCACTCATACTTTATCTTTGTAGTTATTGATCTTATGTTGCTAGACCAATGAAGAAAGATGGTTTTCCTAGTCAACTTCATTTTATATCATCATCATCTCATATGCAATAATTTAATGGGTACAAAGAGTAATTTGCAGCTATATAACCAATTTAGTTAGACTTAGGATACATGTAATATTTGAAGCATCTATCAGTTGTAACCATGTCAATTCTTTCCCTAGTCAATGAAAATTGCACTGCCTGTCTAACCAAATATGTTTTTCTTTTCCCCCCCTTTTCTATTATCCTCCTTTTAGACAAAGACATTGTTTGTCTCATCCATATATTGCTTTAATCATTCTTTCTTTATTTCGCTATCAACTCTTTGGCGCAGTAGTTAATCGCGCCGCTCTGTGTGCACATTTTGCTATCAAAAGCACTCTTAGTTTGATATGGCTGAGGTTCTGGTTCTCTGTTACTGTTTGTTTTGGAACAATTCTTTATTACGAATGAATGTCTTTATTTTTGAGCATATATAGGTGTGATATATTTAGGTTCTCTTGATTTATTCCGCTATTTCCGCAACCGCAACCCACTATAGCACTATAGCTATTTTAAGGGTTCGCCGCGACAAGCCGTAATCCGCATTTGATAACTTTGCTCTTTGGTTAAGATTGAAAACTACCGCTCCATTACAATTAAGGAAAATGGAGTGGAGCATTATATTTGAAGAGAAAATTTTGTTATTCTCGCACTTAATTATGCTTTGTTTTGTTTGAAATGTAGTTGCTCCACGTGTGGGGATCATAATGGGTTCTGATTCAGATATACCTGTGATGAAAAGTGCTGCTGAAATCTTGGAGAAGTTTGGTGTGCCTCACGAGGTTAAATTATTCTAATTTCCCAAAGGGAGGGAGGTTATTTTGTATGAAGTTGTTTATCCTTTCTTATACCTACATGTGTCAAATTTCAGGTAAAAATAGTTTCAGCGCACCAGACTCCAGAAATGATTATTTCTTATGCCTCCTCTGCTCACGACCGAGGCATACAGGTTATTATTGCTGGTGCTGGTGGTGCAGCTCACTTACCCGGTAAATTACTTAAATCATGCTTTGCATATTTTTATTAAGTATCAATTGTCTTATTGGCATTAATTAAGCTTTCATATCTCAGGTATGGTTGCCTCTCTTACTCACTTGCCTGTGATTGGTGTTCCTGTGAGTGCTTCTTTCATGGAAGGACTTGATTCACTTTTATCGATTGTCCAGGTATATTTTTTAATGATGTTTAAATATTCAATATTTATCAATTTTCAGTGCTCTATATAATTGCTTTTGCTGTTTTGTAGGATTGCCTTTCTAGTGATGAGATAATAACATGCAATATTTTTGTAACTTTGGTATTACTGCTTCATTTTTAAAAGCTTTAGATCTATATTGTTTGGAATGCTTTTGAATGAAGGATTTTCTGCAAGTACCATATGGTAGTTAACAAAAGGACTATGGGTGAATTTGGTATTATGTCTTCTTTCTAAAAGCTGTGCTGTTTAAAAGTTTCTTCACTATCTAGAACTTGCCATCACTAAGGAGTCTGTTAATCATATGAATGTTAATTTTTGATTCATTATTGTATGTAAATGAAGGATGCCTTCCATAGAAGGGATAAAAAAAAATGAATAATAGATGTTTACTTTTAAAAGCAACCTTGTTATGTTTTTGGAAGCACTAAGTCAACTGGTGTAGAAGTAGGAACTTGCATCAACAGTTAGGGATGTTGATGGGTCGAATCGAACCGGATTTTTTGAAAAACCGAATCGAATTGGTTTAAATGGTTCGTTCGGAAGGGGTTCGGTTCAGTTCGGAAGTGGTTCGGTGCCGGTTCGGAAATGGTTCGAAACCGGTTCGGGTCGACCCTCTTTTGAAAAGAAAAAAAATTTAAAATTTAAAAAATAAAGTTATAAAAATTAATTTGGTTTGATTTGAAAATGGTTCGGTTCGGTTCGGAACCGGTTCGATTATTAAACCAGTTCTAAAAACCGGTTCGGTTCTTAAACTGGTTCTAAAAACCGGTTCGGTTCTTAAACCGGTTCTAAAAACCGGTTCGGTTCATGAACTGGTTCTTTAAAAACCGGTTCGGTTCACAAACTGGTTTTTAAAAATTGGTTATTTTATGGGCGGTTCGGTTCAGTTCATGGTTCAACCCACTTTTTTGGTTATTTTGCACTTTTTTTTGGTTATTTTGCACACCCCTATCAACCGTGACCTTTTGCAACTATTAAAAACCTGATACATTTACATGCAATGTTTTCTTACTAACGAACTTTCTTGATTCTTGTTGGGCGTGCAGATGCCAAAAGGTGTCCCAGTTGCCGCAGTTGGAATTAATAATGCGACTAATGCTGGATTATTGGCAGTGCGGTGTTTGGGTATTGCCAATGATAATCTTCGGTTAAGGTTTGTCCCTCCCACTCTCTTCTTTTCTCTATACCCGTGATTTAAAAATTATTTATTGAAGTAAATTTTTTTTTATAACAAGAAAGAAGTGGAAGTATTATCTTACTTTTGACTTGTATTGATGTAACCTTTATAAAATTGTGCAGGATGATTCAATACCGAGAGGAACAAAAAGAAAACGTCTTGATGAAAGGAGATAAAGTAGAAAAACATGGTTGGAAATCCTACTTAAATGGTACTTAGTTTAACCTATTTATTTGGTGATTCTTTTTAAGGTCTATTCCCATTGGTGGAGGACTACAAATTTTCTATAGACAACAGGATTTCATATGGAGCGTGTTTAGAGATGGGATGTTAAGTAGATTGAGAATAATTTGAGCTAAATTAAGAAAATATTTTGCAGTTTTGTTTAATTATTTGGCATAGCTTTATTTGTTTTTTTTAAAAAAAAAAAAAAAAGAAATTGACAGACTTTCACTACTTATGTTGGGAATTCCTCAACCTGCAGTAAATTTAAGTTATGCATGAGAATTTATTTTACCAAAACATCCTGGGGAATATTATTTTAACCTTAGACAAAATATGAATTGTTACAGTAATTTCAAGAATTCTAAAATAATTTTTGAACTAAACGTTTCTTAAGAATGAATTTTGATCAGGTTGGTTCGGAATGATATGGTTCCGTTTTCTAAACCCAAAAATAAACTAATATTATAAACTGTACATATAACTCAAATTAAATTTTTTATTTGGTTTTTAAATTGAATCGATTATCCTTGATTTAGTTTATTGGTTTGGGATTTTGTACCATTTTGAAATTATTTAGATTCTCACACCATCATTTCAATGAACCAAACAGCTTACTGAGAGAAAGATTGAAAATCATAAATGGGATGTTTTTTTAGTAGGATTTAATTCTTTATAATAAATCATTTTTTTTTTGGTAATATAATAAATCATTTTAATTACTTAAAGAGAAAGTATTAAAAACTTTTTAGTCTCGATATATATTGCAAACGTGGATTCATACTTGTGAAAAGAGTTGGATTTTTATTTTAAATTTAATCACAATATTTATGTATGAGATAAGATATTATGTTTATCTATTTTTTATACTTATTTTATCTATTTTTCTTTGAGGCAGGCTACATTTATAGTTTTTTCGTTTACAAACTCTTACAACCTCAATTACATAATTCGGAGAATATACTGTGAGTGAATGTATTTTCGGGAATACATAATTGAATTTATTAACAAAAAAGTTATAAATATAATATTTTCTTTTTTCTTTACACATTCAAATCACTCTTTCATCTTTTCTCTCCCCTTCTATTATCGGTTGAGATTGTGGTTTATTGGTGAGGAGAAAAGTAAATAAAATAAGGATAAAAAAATAAACATAATATTCTACCATATATATATATATATATAAAAGGTTTCGTGCGGTCAAAAAATTATAATAATGTACAACGGATAGTACATAGTTATAATATTAAAGTTATTTTTTTCTCTCTTCAAAAATTTAATTATGTACTATGGGTAGTACATAGTTACAATATTAAAGTTATTTTTTTTTTACATCACCCGACAACTGTCTGAAAAGATACTGAGGAGAGAGGAAAAAAATAGCTTTATTATTATAATTATGTATTACTCGTAATACATATTTAAATTTCTAAAGAGAGAAAAAAAAACACAATAGTAGTATTATAACTATGTATGTACTACCCGTAGTACATAGTTATAATTTTTTGACCGCACCAAATCTTAGATCCAGTTATTGTTTATTTGCTAAACCATATATATATATATATATATATATATATATACATACATACATATATGTATATATATACATACATACATACATACATACATACATACACACACACATATATATATATATATGGGCTTATTGTTTCTCAAGCTGCTTGAGATAATCTTATCTCCGGTTACTAAATCATAACCGTACAAAGATGAATCAATGGTGATAAAGGAAGAGAGAGAAAAAAGGAATCATAATCATTCAAAGTTGAATCAATTAATATAAGGAAATAAATAAATAAAACGACGTAGTTTTGGGATAGCCAGAGATAAACTTATCTCAAGCTGCTTGAGAAATGTTTTTCCATATATATATATATATATATATATATATATATATATATATATATTTATTTATTTATTTATTTATTTTCTATTGGGAGGAGTTTCTTGAACAATATAGGAAATCTTCAATTTAACAACACGATTTTTTGGTAAAACCTAATCCGAACTCAACAAGTATATATTGTGAGTGGTTTCTACTTACTATATATTTATTTCAAAGTTTCGTATTTTACAAATTAATTTTTATTAGGTTCAAGAGGCATAGGCACTTTTGGGACAAACATGAAAACTCATTAATCCGTTGATTGGGTTATTTTGATACGAAAATGATGGTATTTTTTACAAATATTGCAATGCTTGTGAAAATGAATTGGATGATTAGTTTTTAAAATTGAACCAAAACTCGTTGATTTAGTTTATTGGTTAGGGTTAATTTTTTTACCATTTTTTTATTTATTTATGTTCTTATATCTTCATTTAAATGATCCAGACAGCTTAGTTAAAGAAAAAATGAAATCCGTACGTGTATGATATTGTTTAAGAAGCATTTTTTTTCTTTTTATTAAATCATTTTAATTAATTAACAAGAAATTATTAAAAGAGCATGAAAAAAAAAATCTATTGGAAGGAATTTTCGTCTGAGGCGGTTGGGTTGACTATAACGCGAGAGTTTAACCTCCTAAATGGAAGGTGGAAGATTAATCTAAGGGAAAAAAAGAGTCTAATTATATTTGATGTTTTTAGTTTTATTTAATAATCTTTTTGTAATTCATTACCAGTAATATACTTCTTAGCAAATTCTTTTTACTACTATTATTATTAATTTTAGAGTGGAGATAATCACATAGAGATTTGTACCCAAAAACAAAATCACATAAAGGACTATGATCTTGTGCACAAAACTAAGCCATTGTGGGAACAATGTGATACGAACTACTGTTTGACAAAGTCGTGGTCGTCGAGCGGTGAAGACTTCAAGATTGATAAAGTAGCACAAGAAGAAAATTACGAAAAGTTTCCGAAAGTAAGAAATGTTGAACGTGAATAAATTTAATTAATTAGAGGACTCATTCAACTAAGACCTAAAAAATAAAATATATCAATGCTTGGTAATTGAAAGGAAATTTCTTGGTGATTACGTTACGAATATATCTATAAATTCATCATATTACATACCCTGCACTGCCATTGTCATCCCTATATTCAAATTTTCGCTTCTTTTGAATTTTGACAATCTATTGTTCTTGTTTTTTCTCCTCAAAAAAAGTGTTTCATAAAGTTTTATTAATGGATTGCTACACGAAGATGTTGGTGTTCACAACAATTCTGCTATTGGGTTCGCAGCAAATATGGGCATTAAGGCCATTAAAGGAGGAGCAATTGTTGCATAAAAATATAGTAATACAGTCACTACAAAGAGGCCCAGTTCGAGCTTCCCAAAAAAACCCGTGCTCAACCGTTCCTGGCCGCAGTAGAGGACAGTGTAATTTGACTGGAATGAACTTCGCTGGTCATGTTGCTCATGCATCACCACCCTTCAAAAATGCTAGTGAGACTCAAAAACAAGTTTCAAGTTCTTGACTATGTTGGGGCTATCACGGATAGAGGTGGCAAAGTGGGTGGCTCGGCCTGTCCTGCCATTAATTCGTCAAAAAACAAGTCATCTCTCCTCCGTCTCACTTTTGAGAATGAACTGTAAAATTCAACCCTAGACCAAGCACGTTTTTCTGGCCCTACTCAGATATTTTTAAATCAAAGTATATAGGTAACTCTTTTTTTTGTGGGACTAATTTGTATACATTAATTTTTCTATTTAACTGATATAAATCAATTTCATTCTTTTTGTTTATCTCTCTGGCTTTCCGTCTTTGGTTCTATTTGCTTAAGGTTTTTTTTTCTCGATTTATTCTAAGCTCTACGGGTGGTTTAATTTTGTTTGTATATCGTAATCATTATTGCCATGATCTTGCGGTCAAATTTGCTCGCTGACATGCATGCATGCCATGTTTATTATAATTAATGGTACATGATCTAGAGTAAGTTTTGACAATAGTTTTGCTGCTTTCATTAAAAGATGCCTTGACTTTCACGTAACCTTTTCCGATCCATTACTTGAATTATACGAGGTAGTAGGTTAGTTTAGAACATTAAACATGGGACAGTTTGCAGATAATAATTATAATAGTAGTTTAGAGGTTCAAATTGACCCAATAGGGAGTTAATTTGTTTGAATTCCAAAGTCAGTAGGTTTAATCTGGTGAGAGATTTGAATAGTTTATATTAAGTTATGTGTTTAATTATATATAAAAAAAATGACTTCCGAGGATGTCAATTGGGTTTTGTCATTCTACTCGGCATCGATATTCCTTTGACATTAATTGAGAGTACTACTAACTATAGACTATAGTACGGTTTTGTTTTGTTTTTCCATTTGTTCTCATCCGATTTGATTCCATAAAGTGGATGGTGAAACTCAAAATTTTATTTATTTATTCTCTCATATTTTCATCAATTTTTTTTTTATTAATTTCATGACCTTAGTTATCACTTTGAACGAGTCAAGTTCTCTGCATAGATCCGTACATATATAAAATTAATTTTGAATTAAATTACGTGACAATTAAACACCTTTAGCCCCCAAAGCCATTCGGGATTCGAACCTAGCTCATTTCAATCTTTATAATTTTCTTCTTTTTGTTGTGAGTTCGTTCTCAATAGCTGTCGAGCTAGCTCATTCCGTCGTACAATATATAAGCTATATATGGTAGTGTGTATCGAAGGGCAGAAAATGACAAAGCTGTATGGGACATTAGCATGAACAAGTCACGTGATAAAGGACAGAGGTGGGGGAGAAAAACCATAGTACTGCACATAATTGACAAAGTCATTTAAGGCAACGCAAAGTGACAATGATGCATGGAAGGTGCAAGTAACTAATGCAAAAGGTAGTGTGTGGTGTTGTTGACATTGCAAGCAACACGAAACGCGTTATAGCGTGTCATCAACACGTACACTATAAGATAAATTTGTTAGAACATATAGTTGTCATCACTCATCACAAAGCCTATGAGTATAATTTTGGGGAATTCACTTACTCGAGAGATATTCAATCTGACTGAAGAGAATAAAATAGAAGGATATTTAACGTCACGAATCAAGTTAAATGATTAGTTAAATTTCCATTAATTAACTATTAAATACTATTGACTTGTTTTTTCAAAAAAATTCGATCCTCGTGTAAACAAAA